GCATAGGGTAGCTGGTGTATGTGGGTATATATAGAGGCCAGGAGTCAGTCTCAGATGTCATTCTCAGGTTTATCTGCCATAGTTTTTGAGACAGGGACCCTTAGGAGCTCACTGAGTAGACTAGGCTACCCGGCAAGAAAGCCTTAAGAATCGTCTTGTTCTACCTTCCTAGCACCAGGTTTGTGAGCCTGTGCCACCCTACTGAGCTTTTACCTGGTTTCTGGGCAGAGCAAGCAGGTCCTTGTGATTATGTCACTTTACTGACAGTCATCACCCCAGCCCTCAGCCATCTTGCATTTAATCTGTTTCTTCAGTCAGTTGAACAACAGATATGATACAGGGTGGTAGAGCTCAAAGAAAAGAATTGGTAGATCCTTTAATATTTTTGAAGTAAAAATATAAATTTTATTTTACAACATTCAGGACTAGTCATCTCATTTGTACTTTCAGACCAGCAAATTCATTTTAATAGGGTGGATAACTTTGTAGTTAGCAAATCAGTGTAATTTATTAAATGTATAAAATACAAGATAATTGATTTAAGATAGCAATAGTCATAAAGTCAAACCAGACTTGTTTTAGTGTACCATAAGCTTATAAGGAAGTTTGATAAAAGCGAATATTTAGTTCTTTGTAGGATGCTCACTGATGATATGATGGATATCTCTTCTAGAGAACACGGTTTACTGTTTCATATATGTCTTTTAGATGAGATAATAGTGTATTTTCCTGAAGACATGAGTGGAAATACTGCCATAGAAACTAACCAGAAAGCCAGGCATGCCAGCGCATTTCTATAATTCTAGCAATTTGGAGGCTGAGGCAGGACGCTGGAGGCTTCCAGACCCTTTGGCTGTATAACAGGAGACTCTGACCAAACAGATGTACAAACACCCCAATCACAACTTAGACTAGAACTTACAGGTTCTCCCTCTCTGTCTATGGGGTGTGTGTGGATGTGGGGTGGTGAGGTGTGTGGGTGGGGGGTTGTATATGAGTACACATTTGGAAAAATCAGGTCAGTATCATCAGAGATGTTTTCCTCAGTCACTTTTGAGACAGTGTCTCTCATTGAGCTGGAGCCTCACTCATAGGTTAGGCTGGCCATAGAGCGCCCGGATCCTTCTGTCTCTGCCTCTCCAGCACTGGGATTATTAACCCGTTCCTGGCTTATTGTATAGGTGCTAGGGAACACCTCAGGTGTTTAAACTTGTGTGACAGGTGTTTTATTGACAGAGCCTCCTCTGGACCTAGCACTTAAAGACTTGTAAGTTGTGTGGTTTTTTTTTTTTTTCTCATAAAGTTAGTAGAAGAAATTGGGTTGACTCAGTGTTGAAATAAGAGCGGCGGGGCTGCGTCCCCAACACCCCGGCCGCTTGGCTAGCTTATGCCCGAAATAACAACACACAAACTGTATTCATTTAAGAACTGCTTGGCCCATGAACTCTAGCCCTTACAGGCTAATTCTCGCACCTGGACTAGCCCATTTCTAATGATGTGTGTAAGCACCCCAAGGTGTGCTTACCGGGAAGAGTCTAGCCTACGTCCATCGTGGGTCTCAGCTTCATGTGTCTGCCTCAGGGCGCAGAGCTATCGGCGTCTACCCAGGAGAGCTGAGCATGGCGTCCCTGCCCCAGCAGAGCTGTCGGGTCTCTCCGGGAGCAGAGCAGAGTCTGACCTCACTTCCTCTTCCGCCCAGAATTCTATCCTGTTTATTCCGCCCACCTATCTTTTAACCTATCAGGGCCAGCAGTTTCTTTATTGCTCAGCCAATGAAATCAACAGATTGATATGACACTCCCACATCAGACTCAGGATCTTTGAAATCTATTAATCTTGAAAAATATGAAACCAGGGTGTGGAGGGGGGAAGAAGGAACCAGTGAAATAAACAGAAATGAAAAACAACTTTACTATAAAAAGTAGAATCAGATTTTTCTGAATAAGCTTGGTGGAATTTCAGTGGTTGTTTAAGAATACTGAATATTAGTTAAAAAGAAATGGAAAGAGCATAGGAACTGAGGAAAGCAAGAGAGGAGTTGGAGGCCATTTTTAGTTCATCTGAGTTACAGTCTGGAATCCATTTCAACAAGGTAAAGTTAAGAATTAACAATAGGAGGAGGATGCCATTGCAGATCATAAGCAAATAATATGGCAATAAAATAAGAACACCTGGTTAACGGTGGATGTGCAGAATCATTTCATTTGTATACACTCTTCCTGAGATGTTCTGTTAAAGCACAAGGGAAACTCCTGGGGGTGTTGGAGGAAATTCTTGAAATGTGTGATGGAACATAGGATGCATGAAACCCTGGATTCCAGCTCCAGTATGGGGTAGAACAAGAGTCAGATAATCTCCTTAATTAAGATAGGGACATAATGGGGCTGGATAGTTGGCTAGCAGTTAATTACATTTGCTTCTCTTCTAAAGGACCCAAGTTCGGTTCCGAGCACCCGCACCAGCAAGTTAATGGTCTGTAACTCCACCTCCAGGAGATCTGACACCTTTGTTCCCCTTGAGTACCTACACTAATGTGTACATGCCCACATGCAGACACAAACACCTACACATAATTAAAAATAATGAAAATAAATCTTAGCAAGATGAGGGCATAGGACAGAGTACTTACATAGGACAGAGTTTTAAGTGAGGTCCCGTAAGGCACCTTTTCAGTTTAGACATCTAGTAAGGGAAAGATTCTTCACGTCAAAATTAAGAGTAGTAAAATTATAGACCAAGAATTCTTTCTCTATCTCTGACTTTGGAAAGGGATTGTGTCTTGCCATGAATTTAAATTTTTAGGGATGGGGCACAGCCTTTGTGGTTTAAGTAGTAACACTGTAGGAGTGAGAGCAAGTGTGTTGTGTAAATAAGCTTTCCTGTCTGTTTTTAGGGGGTTGTCTTGAGAGCTCTGCACAGATAATTTCTAGCAATCCTCACAATCCTATTTTAGTAGAATTATGGTCACAAAAAAAGGTGTGTTTGAGCTGGAAATGGTGCCATGTCCCTGTCATCCCAGCACTAGAGGGCTTTGAAACAGGATCAGAATTTTTTTTTTTTTTTTTTTTTGGTTTTTCGAGACAGGGTTTCTCTGTGGTTTTGGAGCCTGTCCTGGAACTAGCTCTTGTAGACCAGGCTGGTCTCGAACTCACAGAGATCCGCCTGCCTCTGCCTCCCGAGTGCTGGGATTAAAGGCGTGCGCCACCACCGCCTGGCCCAGGATCAGAATTTTGAAACAGGAAAATCTTGATTGAGTTAGTGACCATTCTGGACCATATTGTGATATCCTATCTCAGAAAAAGAACACTAAAATAAATAAAATGTGAATTCTAACCCTTTGTGTATTACAAACTACTAAGAGCCTAGGTAAACTATTAAGAGCTGGAGAGTGAAAAGGAAGACTTTTATAGATATAACGATAGCAGCCACAGTAGTTATTTCTTTTCCCTTTAATCACAGTTATAGTCTTCCTACATGTGACTCCTTTATACCCTCTAGTCCTCTCATATAAGCAGTTTTTTTTTCTTTTTTAATGAACAGCACACATTTTGTAGTAGGAGAAACTAAAGGTTTAAAAGTAAACACTTTTAAGCATTGAGGTTAAGAGTACACATTTTAAAAGCCAGGCATACAAACAGGGTAGTTTCTCTTGTGTTTCCTTCTTTGTGATAAAAGTGTTCATTTCATCATATCCTCAGTTTAAAAGTCACTTCCATTTCCTGCACTGTCTGCTAGAGCACACATCATGTGAGACACAGGAAGAAGTAGCTGGCTCCTTTACCTTCACACACCTTTTGATCTTATACCTAATGTAGAAAGGTGGCTCAGTACTTGAAAAGCACTTGTTGCTCTTGTAGAAAACCAGAGTTCAGTTCCTCACATTGGGCAGGTTACAGCTACCAGTGACTCCTGTTCTAGAGTATCCTACACCCTCTTCTGGTCTCCATGGTCACATGCATGCATGTGCTCAAACATACATGCTCGCACACACACATAGACACAGACATATTTGAAAAATAACACACAAATATGATCTAAGAATGAGCTATTGAAAGAAAATGTAAATAATCCTAAAAGTTTAAACTTTTTTTTTTTTTCAAATTAAATGTAACTTCAGTAAGTGTTTCATGAAGGGCATGGAATAATGTTAGGTTTTGATCTTCAAAAAATGTTGTTTACTGTTACATGCAATTGTCTAATAATCCCATTATATCTGATAGAGATAAGCATTAATTTCTTTCATTAGATATATATCAAATATTATTGAAACTTGCAAGTGATAGTTCAAGGACACAGCAGAGTTTTGTTTGATCAATTTCCAAGTGCTAGACTTCTTTGATGAAAGTTCAGCAAATGTGTGTGAACTTTCAGAGAAGATAAAATACTCCGCCCCTTTACTGTTCCTGTCTCAGGTATCCTGTGTCAGCCTGAGTTGTTATGTAGTCCGAGGAGAACCTTGAACTTCTCATCCTCCTGTTTCCACCACCTCCCTTTTTTAACTTCCCTCCCTCCTTCCCTCGTTCCTTCCTTCATAAGGACCTTAGGAGTGATTTACTGAGACAGCTTACTCTTTTATCAAACTTTTGCTGGTGGTTATTATTTAAATAATAAACTTAGAAGCATTAACTTTCTTTACAAGTGATGTGACTTTAATGAATCTTAGTTTCCTTAGAAAAAAGCCAGACTCTGAAGGATGAAATAAAACATTGTAAAGCAAAATAGTGTGTTATTTGCTTTATAATCTGAGAAAAATATGGAGATATAAGTTAATGATAATTTATGTTTAATTTTGATAGTCATTCAATGCAAGAGTTTCATATAAATCTAAACTTACACAAAAAGTTTTAAGAGAAGAATAATAAGAAATTAGGAAAAGAGGCAAACATGAGCTTAAGATGAGTGTTTGAAAATATTCTCATAGAATCACTTTGTGTTTTGTGATGCATTTTCTCAGCAGGAGTTTTCATTTTGCACACATTGACAGGATATAAGTACTGACCTAACCCTCCTTTCCACCATAAACTGAAGGTCATGAATACCGATGGCACTGGGAGGCGAGTGCTAGTGGAAGACAAAATCCCTCACATATTCGGGTTCACCCTGCTGGGCGACTATGTTTACTGGACTGACTGGCAGCGGCGGAGCATCGAAAGAGTACACAAACGAAGTGCAGAAAGGGAGGTCATCATAGACCAGCTGCCCGACCTCATGGGACTGAAGGCCACAAGTGTTCACAGAGTCATTGGTGAGTCATTCCAGAATCTCTTAGTAATGGAAACCGGATCTAGAAAAGATGAAGAGAAGCAGGCAGCAGCTTGAAAAGCATAGAGGTGAATTGTTGATGTTTGAAGCGATCGTCTTTACTGTGTCTGCCTCGTCTTCTGACCTCACAGTGTACTGTTATGTACCCACCCATAGGTTGTCATTGTGTTGGTTGTGTGAACGTGTGTGTTTTTCTGTGCCTTTTGTCACATACTTTTCTTTTAGGTTCCAACCCCTGTGCTGAGGCAAATGGAGGATGTAGCCATCTTTGCCTCTATAGGCCTCAGGGACTTCGATGTGCCTGTCCCATTGGCTTTGAGCTCATCAGTGACATGAAGACCTGCATTGTTCCCGAGGCTTTCCTTCTGTTTTCGCGGAGAGCAGATATCAGACGCATATCTTTGGAAACAAACAATAATAATGTGGCCATTCCTCTCACTGGTGTCAAAGAAGCTTCTGCTTTGGATTTTGATGTCACCGACAACAGAATTTACTGGACTGATATATCGCTGAAGGTTAGCAAAGAAGTTTGGAGTGCTAATGCTGGGGCTGAAAGTGAGAACTTGATGGCAGTGTCATTGAATCAGAGTGACATGCAGCTGCAGCAGCTTATACCGGCTGACTGTGAACTATAGCATCCGTCTGCTCTGTTTTTCCTAGAATTAATATGAGACGCTTATTGAGCCTGGCTATGAAATCTGGAGGATAGTCTTTCTTTATTCTAGATTGTGGCTTTATTTCAGATAACTTTTGTATACTTGTAATTTGTAAAGAACATGAAATGTTGGAACGAGACAGTTGGTTTCTAATGAATGGTACTTAAGAAAATCTACTAATTCAGTGAGGGGTGGGGGGAGTGACTAAACCTTGGCTTAGCTGGGTGAAGCACTATCTTGCATGACTCTTGTATTAATGAGAATATCTGCAGATACACACCACTTATATAACACTTGGCCTAGACTTTGTCAGGAGCTAACATCTGTTATTAGCTTTTAAAACTCATAGGGTTCAAAACCTTGATGATACAGGAATTGGTTGTTTTATGAGCTTAGAGGTGGCAGAGATCTGAATTGACACCGACTTAGCATCCTCTCAGGTATCTTTAGAAAACTGACTACCAGTAAGCTTATAGCATTCTGGTCCCTTCTTGTTCTAGAAATTTCCTAAAAAAACTCATTTTGGATAGATGACTCCATGGCTTAGAATGTGTGCTCTGTAAGCATGATGGCCTGAGTTCAAATCCCTAGCCCCTGTGTAAAAACCAGTGCGTGGCTTTGCGTGTCTGGAACCCCATTGTTAATGAGTAGAGACTAGCAGATTCCCAGAGCTTGCTAGTCTAGCTCAAACAGTAAGCTTCTGGTTCAAACAGAGACCCTGTCTTAAAGGAATATAGTGAAAAGCAGTGGAAGAAGACCCCAGTGTTCTGTGCCTCTGCATTCCATCATACATAGAACACTGGATAAAAACAACCACGTATCTCATTCATTGCCTTAATAAAAGAAACAAAATTGATTCTTCACCTTTTCAGAATTTTCCCCCAAAGTGGCTATAATACAGTTGGATTTATTAAAAACTGTCACTTCTGCATCTTTGTAACACTAATTAAATCCAGATTTTTGGATATTGTTTTAACCTTAAGCCATGTGTCTTAGTTGGGTATTTGATTTTTGCAGACTATTAGCAGAGCCTTTATGAATGGCAGTGCACTGGAACATGTGGTAGAGTTTGGCTTAGATTATCCAGAAGGCATGGCAGTGGACTGGCTTGGGAAGAACTTGTACTGGGCAGACACAGGAACAAATCGCATCGAGGTATCAAAGTTGGATGGACAGCACCGACAGGTTTTGGTATGGAAAGACCTTGACAGTCCCCGAGCTCTGGCATTGGATCCTGCTGAAGGGTAAATAGCTTTATGTATGTATTCTTTGTAGCTTTATCACACAGTGGTTATGGACTATATCCTTGATTTCTTAATGTTTATTAATAATCTAACAACTAAATGATAGGAAAGATTTATCTTAAAACCAGTTATTGCTGGGCATAGTGCCTCATGCTTGTAAGACTAGCAGCACCTGGCATGCTGAGGCAGAAACATTGCTGGAAGTTCAAGACTAGCCTCAGCTACATTGTGAGTTCTACACCAGCTTGGGCTATAGGTTCTGACTCTCTCAAAAACAAGCAAACAAAAACCTAGGACATTCATATTTTGTCGCTTTGTAATAATTCATTGCTATAATTTACTGCATCATTACGACATTGAATGAAGAAAGTGAAATAGATTTCACAATAAAGTATTAACTGATCAATATTGATATCATCACTCTACATTTAGTTACTCTCTCCAATTCCTCCAGTAAGTGGATTCCAGATCTCTTGGAAACACATCAAAACAGTGAGAAACAACTAATGCGGGTCCCCCACTCCCACTCTGTTTTTGCTTTCCGCAGTTCTAGTTACCCGTGGTCTAGAATAGAAATATTGAATAAAACTTTCAAGACATGAGAAGATCACAAGTTTTAAATTGCATTTATTTATTTATTTATTTATGCGTTTATTTATTTATTTATTTATAGTTTTTCGAGGCAGGGTTTCTCTGTAGCTTTGGAGCCTGTCCTGGCACTAGCTCTTGTAGACCAGGCTGGCCTCGAACTCACAGAGATCCACCTGCCTCTGCCTCCCGAGTGCTGGGATTAAAGGTGTGCGCCACCACCGCCCGGCTTAAATTGCTTTTATTATGCTGTGTATTTTTCTGGTTTTTTATTAGTTGTTAATTTTTTGGAAACAAAATTATACATTAAACTTTGTATAAGTGGGTATAGAAATTAACATTGTTTATGTTACTGTTACTGTAACAGGTTACTGTTGTAGTTTCAGATATACAGTATGGGGGATGTATTAGAATATATCCCTCACAGGTGGGGGTTACTATGTATTTTTAGAAAGTACAGTTCATTTTATCTGTGTATGTCTGTGTGTGTCTGTATTTGTATAAATGTTGTTTGTAATTCAGCCCAAGTCCTTGCCCCTGAAAGTTGCATTTTAGGATACCCATTAATTTAAAGTGGGCCAGCTAGTATAATCTTTATTGTAAACTTAGAAAATCAATGATATTATGGCTAACACATTACATTTTTTTTCAGAGTTAGGTGGTCATTATTATCATAGGAATCAGCATGTTTTCATGTAGCAGTCAAGACATCTGAAAATTAAGAGACTTGAAACTTGTGGTATACAGAGAAGCTGTCCTTTATATTGCCTTCCAACTAGATAAACAAAGGCCTAATGGTGAACTTAATGTGGTATTTAAAATTTTTAAGTTGTTTGTATTCAGAAATACAGAAAGATATTTTAGTAAAGTGAACCAGATTCTTGAACCAAACCATTAATCCTTTCCTTAAAACTAGTTTTATAAATGTTAGTGCTGCAGCAAAGAAATGATTGACTTGTTTTCAGTTCCTACATCTGAGTGGAGCAGATTGATTGGGGGACTAAGGAGTGCTACATGACTACATCTTTTTTGGAATGCGAGAAATATGTTAATTGGAAATGATTAAATACTTGAAAGAATCGTAGCAATGACATTGTTTTATCCATTTTTTAAGTCACTATATTTTCTTCAAGTTTATTGTATTACTATACATGAATATGACCTTTTTTCTCAAGAAAATCAAATATGAACTATTAAATTTTCATTGTTTTGAATCCAGATTTATGTATTGGACTGAATGGGGTGGAAAGCCCAAGATTGACAGAGCTGCTATGGATGGAAGTGAACGCACTACGTTAGTTCCAAATGTGGGGCGAGCAAATGGTCTCACTATCGATTATGCTAAAAGGCGGCTCTACTGGACAGACCTGGACACTAACTTAATAGAGTCTTCAAATATGCTTGGTAAGTTCACGGTTTCTCCTTAGCTGCTGTATTTAAGTAGAAGGCAGTGGCTGCCACTTCATGTCAGGAGCTAGCTTCTTCTGCTCTTCTAGAATTGCAATAACAATTAATAATAATAGTCGCCTAGTGACCCGGGTTTATGTTATTTGCTGTGCAAAGTGTCATTCCTGTTGGATCTGTACTGATACTTTGGAAGAGATACTCCTGAGGGTGTGTGTGTGTGTGTAATTTATTTTCCCCCATCTTTTTGTGGGAGAACGAAATACGAAACTGTTAAGTCCGCATGTAAATTAAATGAAAATCAAAATGGACCACAGGAATTGAAAAACGTTGATTTATAGCTGGGGTGTGATTTGAGGTAGGGAGGTCAAACTGTAGATTCATTTCAGAAGCCTGATCTGCTTTTAGAATTGCTTTTATGAATTGTCCTATTTTAAATTGCTTACAAATATAATGTTTCATGTGTTACCTTCCCCTCCCATCAGAAGACACTTGTTCCTCACATGCTTCATTTCTGTGGCTCTCCCTTGCCACTGACTTTCCCAAAACAGGACTCAACCGTGAAGTTATAGCAGATGATTTGCCTCATCCTTTTGGCTTAACTCAGTACCAAGATTACATCTACTGGACTGACTGGAGCCGACGCAGCATTGAACGAGCCAACAAAACCAGTGGCCAAAACCGCACCATCATCCAGGGCCATTTGGATTATGTGATGGACATCCTGGTCTTTCACTCCTCTCGGCAGGCAGGGTGGAATGAATGTGCCTCCAGCAACGGGCACTGCTCCCACCTCTGCTTGGCTGTACCAGTTGGAGGTTTTGTGTGTGGATGCCCTGCCCACTACTCCCTGAATGCTGACAACAGAACCTGTAGTGGTAAGCTATAGTATCTTCCAGAGGCAGCTAGAACTAGAAGAGAAAGCAGCATTTGGAGAATCATCCAAAAGAGTAAAATGTTGGTAATTAAAAAGGAAGACTAATGGAAGACATACAAGTTTTTTTTTTTTTTTTTAACTTAAATTTTTAAAATTTACGTACTAACCTCAGTTCCCTCTTCCCTTCCCCCACTCCCCCCACTCCCCATTCTACTCCACCCCTCATTCAGTCCTCAGAGGGAGTAAGGCCTCCCCTGGGGAGTCAGTGAACTCTAGTATACCAAGTTGAGGCAGGACCAAGCTGAGCACCATAGAATTGCCTCCAAAACACCAGCTGATGCACCCAGGATATGTACTGATCCCACTGCCAAGCACCCCTCCCCCCAATAGATCAAGCCACAAAACTGCCACCCACATTCAGAGGATTTAGTTCGGTCCCATGCAGGATTCCTCACTGTCAGGCCAGAGTCTTTGAGTACCCACTAGCTTGGGTCAGCTGTCTCTAGTTTTTCCAGTCATGATCTTGACCCTACCCCCTTGCTCACATGATCCCTCCTCTCTCTCTCTTCATCTAAGCTCCAGGAGCTCAGCCCTGTGCTTGGCTGTAGATCAACGTATGTATCTTCTTCCATCAGCTACTGGATATAGGTTCCATGATGAAAATTAGGGAAGTCACTAATCTGATTATAGGGGGAGGCCATTTCAGGCACCCTCACCGCTATTGCTAGGAGTCTTAACTGGGATGATCCTTGTGGATTCCTGGGAATTTCCTTAGTACCTCGTCTCTCCCTAACTCCATAATGACTCCCTCTATCAAGATATATCTTCATTGCTCCTCCCTCTCTGTCCTTCCCCCAACTCGGCCATCTCGACCCTTTATATTCCCATCCCCCATCCCTTCTCTGCTACTCCCCCTCCCAGTTTATCCAGTAGATCTTAACTATTTCCCTTTCCTGGGCCCTCCATGTATGTCCTTCCATTTTACCTAGCTTCTCTGAGGTTGTGGATTGTAGCCTGGTTATCCTTTGCTTTATGTTTGATATTCACTTCTGAGTGAGTGCATACAGTGTTTGTCTTTCTGGGTCTGGGTTACATCCATTTGCCTGCAAATTTCAAGATGTTGTTTTTGTTTGTTTGTTTGTTGTTTTTTCCCACCGAGTAGTATTCCATTGTGTAGTAAATGTATCACATTTCTTTATCCTTTCTTCAGTTGAGGGGCATCTAGGTTGTTTTCAGGTTCTGGCTATTACAAATAATGCTGCTATGAACATAGTTGGCATACAAAAGACATACAAGTTTTGTCACTTAATTCATGATAGAACTTAATTTCAAAGAAGTGTTGGCTTTTACTTTTGAGCGTTAAGTATTTAGTGAAAAATGTGTAGTGTGAGAGAAACACATGTGTTAATACATAATGCTTGTTTATTCATAAAGGAATACAAGTAGAACAAAGAGAATCCTAAAACATACTTCTTTGATGTTGCATTAAGAGCGGCGGCAGGGCTGCGTCCCCGGCACCCGGCCGCCCGCATGGCTAGCTTATGCCCGAAATAATTACACGGAAACTGTATTCTTTCAAACACTGCCTGGCCCGGCTAGTTCCAGCTTCTTATTGGCTAGCTCTTACATATTGTTCTAACCCATTTCTAATATTCTGTGAAGCCCACGAGCTGGCTTACCAGGGAGGATCTTAACCTGCATCTGTCTGGCGTGGGAGCATCATGGCGACTCTCTCACTAAGCTTCTTTCTCCCAGAATTCTCTTCTGTTTTCTCTACTCACCTAAGGGTGGGCCTATCAAGGGGCCTAGGCAGTTTCTTTATTAATAAGAAATCACTCCCACATCACTTTGAAGTACATAAAACAGGACAAGCATTTTTATTATCTATGAAGCCATACAGGAAATTCATATGAAGAAGTTTAAACCCAGGGTGAAGCAGTAATTAACAGATGAGGATGGTTCCAATGCCAGCATAGTACATAGTCACTGTTTGATTCCAGATCTTCTCACCTGATGGTGGTTATGGTTCAGAATTTGTAATGATAAGAGGGAGGGATGGCCCTATGTCTTAGTCAAAGTTCTAGTTCTGTGAAGAGACACCATGACCATGGCAACTCTTATAAAGGAAAAACATTTAATTGGGGCAGCCTTACAGTTTCAGAGGTTGAATGCATTATCACCATGGTAGAAAGCATGGCACCACACATGCAGAGTTCTACATCTAGATCCACTGGGACCAGCTTGAGCATTTGAAACTGGAAAGCCCCCCTCTGAGTGACAGTTTCTTCAACATGGCCACACCTACTTCACCAAGATTGCACCTCCTAATAGTGCTACTCTCTGGTGACCAAGCATTCAAATCTATGAGCCTGTGGGGACCATTTCTATTCATGCCAGCACAATATCTTTTTAAAAGTTAACAAAAAACTTCAACATTAATAATGAACACACATGGTACTACCAACAAAGCATGTCACAATATTGTTGGCCACAGAAAACCTGGTGTATGACTTAAGTATCTATGGAGACCCATATCTTGAAGGTTAGATAAGAAAATTAGTAAATGATTAAGAGATACATAGACAAATTAGATCAGGCAGTCTTGGGAGCCAGGAGACTATTGGTTTGGAAGAAAGTAACAGCTTGTGTGATTTTAGATATAATTAACTAGTGAAATTACTTTGTTGTTATCTGAAGAAATGTATCTGAATCATATAGGGAAGGATTTAATCTATTCTAAAGTAGACTTCAATTATGGAGAAAGAACACAGATTATAATTAAGAGATTGTACTTTAGAGATTCCCACATATTGGTTTTTTCTTTATGCAAATCATTTTTAAGTTTTGGTTTAACTAGAGTTGCTGTGAGAATTCAATAAGATACATGACATCGGCTCATGAAAAGTGATGTAGCTCTGGGAAGACCTGGGCTGCTGGTACGGTGATGAGGGTGGTGATGGAGAGATGCTCGTGGACTCTGGGTGTGCTTTGGAGTTAGACTAGATCTCGGAAGTGAGTGTGGTCTAGAGAAGAAGAGAGATGCAGCAAAGCAAAGATGGTTTCCAAGTGTCAGAGGGCAGTGGTAAGGCTAAAGGCATGTGTTTCAGAGCTGCAGGTGTTTACCTGAGGTTACCTGCAGGGAGAGCTGAATGCTGGGCCTAGCAGACTTGGGAAGGACTAGAGAGCAAATTTTCGGCATGTAGGGCATGTATGTAGGCTCTGTTAACACCTTTTAGGTCTGCCCAGCTCTGTCCACTGTAGCATGACAGCAGCCAAAGACAGTATTACAGAAAGGGGCAGCAGACCAGGTTTGATTTGTGGGCCATAGTTTGAAATACCTTATAGAAAGAAAAGATGGGACCTGACAGCCAAAAGAACTGGTTTAGAAGGACAAGTTTGCAGAGACTACTGAGAACTGGCATAGCCGGAGAACTAAGAAAAGCTGCAAGAGATAAGACTGTTTCAAACAAGAGTTGCTGACCTTGCTAAGAGGTTAGATGAGGTCTTAAAAATAGCATCCATCTTTTAAATAGTTTCTGTCTATTGTGGCCAAAGGTAGTCTTGCAGACCATGAAGAGAGTAAGGTCAGAGAAGGGTTGGGGAAAGACAGCTGGAGTCCACTGGACTTTACAGTGTACAGGAGCATAATTCCACAGCAGAGAATAGACATGAGGGATATGTCAAGACATCCTGAGATTATTGGGCATGTAACTGCACATGGCCTGTTGGTTGGTTGGTGAGTGAACACCGTGGGGAGTCATGTTGAGTGCCCCTAATATCTGTTTGACTATCTGGCGCAGTCACTGTGTGTCAAGGCTTCTTGTGTGCTTTTTTTTTTAATGAATATTCTGTATTATTGCATGCAGTTGTATTAGATTCCATGTATTATGAGGAACTTGATTCATAAGTTCTTGCTTTCAAAAGTGTTCCAACATTGTTTTATTTGCATCTTGAATGATTTTAAAAACCAGTTAAGACCAGCTTGTCTCTGGTCTCAAATGTTCCAGTGTTCTCTATCTCATGCAGTATAAAACCCCTGACTGTTATAAGGCCTTCAAGGCTCAACATGAGCAATATCCCTCATTTCACAACAGCTTCTTTTAATCTCACTTCATAGCTGCATCTTTATCCTACGTACCCCAGTTCCTTCTCTAACCCCAATTTCTACTAGTCTTTAATTTGCTTTCTCTGTAACAGACACACTGGTCCCGTTTCAGGACGGCTGAGCTGCTTATTTCATCTGCTCTGCGTGTTCTCCTCACAAATCTTTGCATGCCCACCCTTCATTTCTAAGTCTTTGGTTAATTATGATGTGTGTAGCAAGACCCAGTCTGCAGCACTTACAAGGGAAAAAACTTCTACCAGTATCATTGCCAGGGTCCCACAGCTGCCTTTCCAATAGCACTTAGAACAGTTTGTGTATAATTTATACAATCTGCTGTTTATATACTATTACTTCCTTTGTTATACTTATTGTTTACTATGTATCCCATGACGCAGCAGCTTTGTTTCTGTTCTCTTCACTGAGGTATCTCAGGTGCTTCTGGTACATGGTAAACACTCAATATTACTGTTAAATAAATTAGTGAAGAAATAAGGCAGTTCTTAGAAGAAAGTTTGACCTTCCACTCGGTAGCTTTTGTGATCCTGAGAAAATGTTGAACTTTCCTGTTTGCTCACCTATAAAATGGTGGTGTAGAGATTGAATGGCATTCTGTGTGCCATTTTGGAATATAGAAATTAAATGGCATTCTGTGTGATGTGATGTATTGTGATATGGAGATTAAATGATATTCTGTGTGACTGATGTGTTGATAATGTAGGGATTAAGTGACATTCTGTGTGACATGTGACATGCTGATACTATAGGGGTTCGATAGCATTCTGTATGATGTGTTGGAGTATAGGGATTAAATTACATTCTGTGTGATGTGTGACATGTTGTTAAAATAGCAGTTAAATAACATCCAGTATGATGTATGGTGTGTTGGAGTTTTTCAACAAATACATATTTCTTTTCCTTCCTTCCTCTAATTTTATTCTGTTACTTACAAAATCACAGCTACAGAATTGTTTTTTCAGTGTTTATTTCTTTACGTAATATTTTTATTCTTTAATGTGTATTAAACATACTCTACCTGCTGGGTCTTATTTTAACCAGTGGAAAATAATAACAATGAATGAAATAGACAGAAATGCCTGTTTTCACCAGGATTATATTTCTCTGGAACTGTTAAGGTGAACAGTATCAGGGCTAGATGGTGTGTTATGCAGAAAAGGAAGAAATGTGGTGGCCGAGATTGCACTGTTAATAGGTTTACCGGGAACTCCATACTAAAGTGATATTTAGTCAAGACTTGAAGGAAGTGAGGAAATGAGCTATGAGGATGTCCACATCTGACTCGATAGGTTACTCAGGAGGGCATTATGGTAAAAGAGTGGATAAGGACATTGAGAGAGAAAACAAGAAGCTAGATTTTACAGACTTATCCTTGGTGCTGAAGTGGCCCTTTGGTACCTTGTATAAATTGGGGAATGATGTTTCCTATGGACAGATTGAGTCCCTCAGATGCATAATTTGGCTCATACAGTGAAGGTTGCATATCTGTTCTTACTCAGTGCTTTTGGTACCATGGATGACACACTCATATTTGGTAGCTTGGCCTTGAAGATTATCCTGTTCCTACCTAAGAGCAGCACCTTCCTTTAGCTTATCGGTGAGTGCTGGATAGCAGGAAACAGCTGAAAATGGCCTCTGGCTTACACTCCCAGCTTCTGCATGTTGTTTCATTGTGGGACTGCATACTAGAAAGAGTAGGAGAACTCAGTGGCTTATTTTATTTTGAGACAGGGTGTCCTATGCTGGCTTAAAGCTCTTGAGCTTTTCATCCTCCTGCCTCAGCCTCTCAAGTGCTCGGATTACAGGAATGTGCCACTCTGCTTAGGTTTTGTTTGTTTTAATAACTTAATATAGGAGATGTGAGAGTGTGGGTGAGGATTAGAGGACAGGTTTAGACTTTTTAAATGGCACGTGTTGTGTCATTTTAATATAGGAGATGTGAGAAACTCAAATTATCAGCTTCCCCTGAGAAATATTCCACCATTTATAATTGTTAATTTTTTATTTAAAACTTAATTACACTTCAGTTTAATTGTGTATGTGTGCATGTGCACACACTACACGCTTATCCCATGGCATACATGTGGAGGTCAGAGAACAACTTGAAGAACTTGACTCTCCCTTTACCATGTACATGTAGGTCCTAGACCTGGAACTTGAACCACAAAGTTTAGTGACAAGTGCCTCTACCTTGCTGAGCCTTCTAAAGTGTGTTCTTAAAGTTGAACTCTACTGAAATTGCTCATGGTTGTTAGGTCCATGTGTGATGGAGATTTCTAGTAGACTGGGTACTTCCTGAGTCTTCTGAGCTGGATGTGGACCTCTAGGTAATGAAGAGATAACAGAAATGCAGTGTTTCAAGTGTCAGGTTTCTTCGTCAGTGCCAGTGAGTTCCAAGAATGTAAAGTAAGCCCCCAGCCTCAAGTACGAGCCATGAAGATTAGGGGTCAGGCAAGGATTTAGGCATGGCCTCCTTTGTTTACATCCTTGAAAAGGATGTTTCTGCTGGGTTTAGGTAATAGCTGAGCACCAAGAAAATAAAGTATCATTATCAAATTTATGAATATAAACTATAAACACCCCTCCCCCATTGCTGTTTTTTCCCCCTGTGGTTTCCATTACCTGTAGTCAGCCTCCATCTGGAAATAATGCATGGAAAATTCCAGAAGTAATGCATAAGCTTTAAATTGCATGTGGTTCTGAATAGCACAGTGTAATTTATTTCAGTCCTACCCAGGATTTGAATCATTTCTTTATCTAGTGCTTCGACTCTGTATGTGCTCTCCTCCTGGTCGCTCTTAGCAGCCATCTCTGCTGTGATATCAGCTGTCACAGTATCCTGAATACTTGTATTCAGGTGATGATAATTCTCCTTCGTACTTTTCCCAAAGTGAAAAGTAGTAAGAGTGGCAATTTTTTGGGGGGAGAGGGGATAGGGTTTCTCTGTAGCTTTTGGAACCTGTCCTGGAACTAGCTCTTATAAACCAGGTTCGCCTCGAACTCCCAGAGATCTACCTGCCTCTGCCTTGCGAGTGCTAGGATTAAAGGCATGCACCACCACCGCCCGTCTAAGAGTGGCAATTATATTATGGTATATTATTATATTTTTTTCTTATTGCCCTGTTTGCCTGCATATATGCATGTCAATCACAGGTGTGCCTGGTGCTCGTGGGGATAGGAAAAGGGCATTGGATCCTCTGGAACTCGAGTTAGAGAAAGCTGTGAGCCACCATGTGGGTACTAGGTATTGAACCTGGTACTGCAGCAATAGCAACAGTTGTAGGCAGATACTGCACTTTTATTTCCTGGATCACAACAATTGCTCTGAACCAGTGAGCCATGTCTCCAGACCCTCAAATAAGTTTTATGATAGATGTATATGTATAGAAAAAAATACAGTACATAAAGGATCTGGTACTGATAAACTGTCTTTATCAATAATGGGGGTGGGCTGTATTTTAATTAGGATTTTAAAATGCTTTTAGGTTTTCCTGTTGTTGGTGATACACCCAAATGTCATGTTTGTTTGTCTTGAAGATAGGTTCTTATCATATAACTCAGGCTAGCCATGAAATCACTCAGTAGGCTCCTGCCTCTCTACTTCTCAGATGTTTTCCTGAATTGAAGATGACCACAAAATAATGAGAGGCCCATCCCTGGGAAAGGGAAGTGCTGTCTTGGTACACTTTCTAGTTTTATGAGTTGAGTATTATCTTACCATGGAAACAGAACATTTTTTAGTGAAGCTGTAAATGCTTGCTGTTTTTTAAATTAATTAATTTTAAAAAACCACTACGTTTCTCATTTTACATACCAATCCCAGTTCCCACTCCCTCCCCTTACTGTTTTTTTCTTTTTTTTAACTTTATTTTATATGTGTATGAATGTTTTTGTGTGTGTGTATGTATGTATGTGTGTTGTACCTGCCTGGTGCGCATGGAGGTCACAAAAGGATGTTAGTTCCCTGGAATTGGGGTAACAGATACTTGTGATCTGCCTTGTGAGTTCTGGGAACTGAACTGGCATCCTTTACAAGAACAGCAGGCACTTTTAACCACTAAGCCATTTTTCCAGCTCCTGTTTTTTTGTTCTTGGTTTATAGATGCCTTCTTACACTGTCCAGCCTCACATATGCAGTGACCCTTCTGACTTACTTTTTACAGCTCTCCGATTTGAGGCAAGAGCCACTACACCTGACCTTAATACTGTTTTCAATATTGTAGATGAATGTAAAAGTGTCTGTCTTTTCTAACTGCTTGTTGGGACTTGAACATAGGGCCTTGTGTAGGCTAGGCAAGTCTCCTCTCTTGAGCTGCATCCCACCTAAGCATTTATTGTTAGCTTTTTTGATCATTTTTATTTCCTTCCTCTGCAAATGAAATCTATAACTTCTTATGTCTTTATCAAATGATTCATTAAAAATAAGATCTGTTGTTTCTGCAAGACAGGAAAATAGGCTGGATGATGAAAAAAATCAATGCCCACAGAGTTCTAGCAACAAAATTTTAAAGTATTTCTCCAATTAACCATTTTAATTACTAAAAATGAGACACACAAATCATTTATAGGTTTCATCTCTTTTCTGTAACTCTGGAAGTAAGCCATTTCCCTGCTAACGTTACCTTTATCTATTCAGATGCAACTGAGCATTGAACCTTTTTTTATCAAATAAAGAGCTCTATTAAATGAAAGAATACATATTAGTTATTTACAGTGGAGTCAAAGATCTAGTACGTATGTAAGGCATGAAGATCTAGTACTGTGTAACTGAAAAATAGTTAAGTAAAGGCCAACTGGAAAGGAGTGAGCATTGCTAAAGAGACAGGGTGAGCACTGGATTCCAGAGGTAGGAGAACCCCGTCTGGGTGGGAGTGGACGAGCTCAAGGGAAGCTGCACAGAGGTGCAACAGGGAAATGGTCCTGGGGGATGGGTGGGATTTAGAACTAAACCAATGTGAGAACTCTGGGCAATAAAACTAGAGAAAGCAATAAGAAATGCAGGGCCCAGTGAACAGGAAACAATTTGTAACTGGCTTTATAACCAGAGTACTGACTATGCTCGCTCTGGAGGAAGTTTCAGTAGGTGTGCCAAAGGTGTCTCCACTCTGTTAATTTGTTGTTCTGCTGGAGATGCATGGAATAGGCTCACCAAACCTTGGGGTGGTGAAGACCAGAGTCACTGTATTTCAGACTTGCTCTTTTCTCTTTTAAGCTCCTACTACCTTCCTGCTCTTCAGTCAGAAGAGTGCCATCAACCGCATGGTGATTGATGAACAGCAGAGTCCTGACATCATCCTGCCCATCCACAGCCTTCGGAATGTCAGGGCCATTGATTATGACCCTTTGGACAAGCAGCTCTACTGGATTGACTCTCGACAAAACATGATCCGAAAGGCACAAGAAGACGGTGGCCAGGTAACTCAGGCTTAATCTGGAGTCCATTTCTGACTAGAACTGCTCTAACCATCCACACTGCTTTATCTGTCTACAGGGGACATGGAAATCTAGGGATAGTACTTTTTTATTATCCAAAATACCTGTATTCTACTTACATTATTATTATTTGATGATGGCATCAGGTTGGAAATTTTATCAGGAAAGTGAGGTCATTAATGACTTTTCCGCCATTGGTCACGTCCGTTCGTGCCATTTTTCTTTTCTTCAGTATCCCTTTGTATGCAGAGTAGTACACGTGTTAAAATCAAGTAGGCCTTTGTTCTGGTCCCAGCTCTGTCACTCACTAGAAATCTTAGGAATGATTTTGGTGAACAGAATGCAAGGCATAAAGCTCCTATGTGTTTAATGGTAGGGATTTTATAGATAAGAGTTATATCACTTACTATCTTTTATTTACCAGACTCATTGATTAAGAAACAGGATAATCTTAGTAAAATTAAAAATATCAACCATGTGTTGATATTTTTATGATTCTATTTTTTTTATTTTTTATTTAGGGAATTGGGGATGAGAATGACAAAACGATCTATCTTAACCGTGCCCATGTACCACCATGGATTTCAGTGCTATTAGTTATAATTCCTTCTTCCTCGGGCCAACAAGTATAGACTTAAGGTTACAATAGCTGTCCATTGTCTCCTTGTGGCAGAGATGTTAAATTAGATTTTGAATGTTAAAATTTAGGGGAAATATTGCTCTATTTTGCTGTCTAACCTTACAGTAAAGAACAAGGAAGGTGGTATATAGGAGTGCTGAGGGATCACTTAGCAATGAGATCATACTTTGTACTCCAGCTGTACCTTGTACTACCTAGGCCAGTACTAGTGGCACATAACTGGTAGGGAGAATTATACAGCCAAAAATACAGCAAATAAATTAAGTAACTTTTAAAAACACTATACTAACTCAGAATCCTAGTAAATGAAATAAAATTTATTTGGACAAAATAGACAAATGTACTTTTGGTTGACTTTGTGAGAAAAAATTACTACTACTCTTATTATTATTAATTTGTAGTCAGGCAGCAGTCCCAGCATGAAGCCTAAAAATGGAAGCTCCCGGCCTATAGAGTAAGACCCTGTGTCCAAATATGGACTTCAGGATATTAGAAACATTCTTGGTCTTCACCCAGTAGTTGGCAGTAGTAGGTTTTTCACATCTCAATACTGAAATATCTCTGGATATTCTCAGTGCCTGTGGATGCAGTGTCCGCTCAATTGAGAGCTACTGCTCTAGAGGTGTCTCCACATTGTGATTGGAGTCACAGGTGTTTATGGGGAAAACCTGTTACCCCCCTCTGGTCAAAACGTTGTCAGGTTCCTGGACTGTCTATGCTGTCTTCAGCATCTTCTGCTCCATAAAATAGCCCAAGGGGATATTTGAAATGTATGTTAACAGGCAGGTATAGCACTCATAAAACCTGTCTTTAAGAAATGTCCCCAAAGACCAGATACCCTTCTGAGGTGTGACCACACAAGTTAAGAGTTGTGTTCATGGCCTTGTAGTTGTCTGGTGTGGAATCTAATTTGTGTGTTTCTCTTTCTTTAGGGTTTTACTGTAGTTGTAAGCTCAGTTCCAAATCAGAACCTGGAAATACAGCCCTATGACCTCAGCATTGATATCTATAGCCGTTACATCTACTGGACCTGCGAAGCTACCAATGTCATTGATGTGACAAGATTAGATGGCCGATCAATTGGAGTGGTTCTAAAAGGCGAGCAAGACAGACCTCGAGCCATTGTGGTGAACCCCGAGAAAGGGTATGTTACAGAAGCTGTAGGCAGAGACTCTCGCCTCTGATGCCTCTCTGTCCTCCCTGCTCCAGCTAACAACTCCACTTAATGTTTCCCATGTGTTTGGCCCTGCATTTTCTTATGCTTTTTCTGATTTTACTGCCTAGAGTTCTTTCATTGGTTTAGTTCTAAATCCCACCCATACCCCAGGACCATTTTGTAACAAGAAGGAACCTGCTTGTTTGGGTTTCTGTCGTGCCCGGATTCCCCCAAAAGCCAGCAAGCCCCAAAGAAAATCACACAGAGATCTCTGTAAGTTATACAGAGTAACTTACAAGTAAGCTGATTGGCCCATTAGTTCAGTCTTATTAGCTCTTGTAGCTTGTATTAACCCATTATTCTTATCTATGTTAGCCATGTGGCTCAGTACCTTTTCCAGTGGGGCATGTCACATGTTGCTTCTTTGGTGATCTGGGCAGGACTGGGGGGAATGGGCTTCCTCCTTTCCAGCATTCTCCTGTTCTCATCACCCCACCTCTACTTCCTGTCTGGTTGACCCGCCTATACTTCCTGCCTGGCCAATCAGCATTTTATTAAAATACATGATTGACAGAATACAGACAATTCTCCCGCACCACCATTTCACCGCCACATCTTCTGTGTACTTAGCTTTTCTTGACCTCTTTCATACCCCAGCCAGATATGATCCTCCCACTTCTGGAATCTCAGGGTTCACTCTGTGTCTCTTTACTCATGCTTATTCCTTTCCAGTTACATAGTTATTACTAAAACCTTCAACTACATTGTAAATAACTAATAAATATGTCTTTTATTTAATAGAATTTTGCATTTGATTAAAAAAAATCCAGTGTTCAGTTATATCTCAGTAGATGATAAAGGTGTTAATAACAAGGAAATGGCTTACGTCTAGAGTTACAGAAAAGGGGTGAAACTTATAAATGATTTGTGTGTCTCACTAGTAATTAAAATGCTGAATTGGAGAAATCCCTTAAAATTTTATAACTAGATCTCTCTGGATATTGATTTTTCTTTTTTTAAATCTGTGAAATTTGACTCTGAAAACTCAGTTTGTCTTGATTCTTCAGTACTTTTTTTATTTTCTCCTGTTATCTTCAGGTATATGTATTTTACAAATCTTCAGGAAAGATCTCCTAAAATTGAACGGGCTGCTTTGGATGGGACAGAACGGGAGGTCCTCTTTTTCAGTGGCTTAAGTAAACCAATTGCTTTGGCACTTGATAGCAGGCTGGGCAAGCTCTTCTGGGCTGATTCAGATCTTCGGCGAATTGAAAGCAGTGATCTCTCAGGTACCCCAAAACTGTTTCTGTATTTTGATTTGAGTTTTAAGATGATTTCACTACTGTGAATTTGTATTTTTCTTTTGTTATTTTTATGCATGATTATAATTTTATTCTTTATATTCTGCATTATGTTAGTAGGGGAGATCTTTGATATTACTTCCCTCATTCTCTAAGTATTCAGCAGTTTTAGTGTTCTGAAAATTATGGGTTTTTTTTTGTTTTTCATTTTTTACTAATTCTTCTGCTCTACTTTTCCATTCTGTTCTCTCTGAACTCCAGCCTACGGTTGGTCTCTTTGCTCCTTTTTCCATGTCGTAAACTTTCAGAAACACTTTTCCATATGCAGACAGTGTTCTGAAGTGTGTTTCCTAATGTTTCTTCTTAAGTCTTCAGAGTATTCTCACTTTAGGAAAAACCTGCTCACCCTTAACAAAGTCTTCACTTTAACCCTTTGCTTCTCTGTGGTCTTGTTTGTAATCATAGTCACCTCTTCTGTCATAATTCAGTGGTGTCTGGTTTATGTATGGCCTCATTAGAGACCAGGAAAATAAAACTGAAATAATAAATTATTTGTTTTGATCAGAGTGGTGAAAGTATGTTAAGGTTTATTATGCCCAGCACTTGTCAGGATGGTAAAAATAACATGCTCTCCTAAGGGTGGTAATGGAACTTAGAACCTTTGATTTAGCCATTTCTCTTCTGGATGATTGTCTCACAGAAATACTAAGAGTCACCACTGAGCATTATTTGTGATAGTCTTTCATGGAGAAAGTACATTGTAGCATGTCAGTATATGGACTGTCAATGCCACTCAAAGCAGTTGTGATTAACTGTTTGTAATTTCAGCACTTGGAAACAGAAGTGTGAAGGTTCTTATTTTGAGACCTGTCTGAACTAATTCTAAGAACCTGTATCAAAAACAAAACAAAAGCCAACCAGTCCCCACAGTGCTGCATGAACCTTCCTGTGGCCTAAAAGTAGTGGTGAAATTTCTATGCAATATAGACAATAAATAGCACACACACTTGTACTGATATATAGAGACAAGTGTGGCTTCTCTCTAAGTTGTAAACCAGTCTAAAGAACCCATCAACATTGTATGAGAATTGTCTCTCTAGCACATGGTAGTGTTGGAGGTTTTTACAAGTCCAGTAGTTTAAAATGTACATCATATTAACAATTCTTTACCTTATTTATTGAAATTGAACAAAACTTCTTTGCATTGATTGATAGTTTGCATTTCCCTGTTTCTTGCTGTCCCACCCCTTCTTTTAAAGAAAGCCTTGCTCCGTTGACCACACTGGCCAAAAACTTGAGCTGTCCCTGCCTGCTTGTGCCCCTGAACCCCAGAGAATGTGGTTATATACCACTGTACCCATCTTCCATTTCCACTCTGAATTTCTAAAAATTTTTTTGTGTATTCAGAATATGAACTCACTGTTAAGGTGCATTTATGGTGAAGGAGAATCTGCCTGTTAACCAGCCTTGGCTTTGTTTAGTGGAGTTTTTGTCTGTAGTCATCTTGGACTTTGTTTACAGATTCATAGAGCCTCCGTTTGCTGATAAGACAAGAAACCTTGCAGTTTTGTCTACTTAGTCAGCATTATTGACTAGACAATCTGTCCTTTCCACTGTTTTGAGACATAAGTTTAAAAAAATAGGTTTTGCCTGAATGCATGTCTGTGTAGCACATGTGTACCTGGTACCTACGGAGACCAAATGAGGTACTGGATACCCTGTGACTGGGGTTACAGATGAATGAGGTGCCATTTGGGTTCTAGGAATCATGTAGCTAAGTGCTAGAGCACTTGCCTAGCATAAGCAAGGCCTTGGGTTCAGTCCTCAGTGTTTCTCTCTCTCTCTCTCTCTCTCTCTCTCTCTCTCTCTCTCACACACACACACACACACACACACACACACACACACACCACAAGAAATTCTTAGACATCTCTGAGTTATATTGCATAAAACTTTTGATGTTGATATGGTCCTCCTTTTTCCTCAGAGGATATGTTCTGAGACCCTCTGAGAGCACGGATGACAACCCAGCATTCCTGTCCATGCTTCAGTAATAGCACATCATCCAGAAGCTAATCTCCCTTGCTCTGTATCACTGCTCTTGGGCATCGAGTCCAGGATTTTATAGGATTAGTCCATAACCTGTGTGTCAGGTGGACTTTGTGTGTTCTGAGAAGCCAGGTAGAGTGAGAGTGGCGTTGTTTTTTGATGTCTCAGATGTTTTTAGAAAGCGGTAGATACGAACCACAGAACCCTGGCCTTACTCCACTGCTTCACCCAGACAAGCATTGTTTTCATCTGCTTTATTGTGTTAGTTTTTCATAAAATTTAATTCAAAAATGGATTCTGCTAAAAACAAATTGAAATTGGCTGTCCCAAGATCTTCGCTGCATTTCATAACAAGAAAATTCCTTGTGTTGGGAATTAATTCCTTGATGCACGTGTCTGGGTTAGCACCATTCTCTGGTACATTTAAGTCTTGTGGGGCAGCACTGGTATTTTCCATACCTTTAGGATCCACTTGGTATCCATTAGATAACTGTTGAAAGTGAGATTTGGCTACACAAGTCATTGCCGTTGAATGTTTTCCTTTTCCAAGGTGCCAACAGGATAGTGCTAGAAGACTCTAATATCTTGCAGCCTGTGGGTCTGACCGTGTTTGAAAACTGGCTCTATTGGATTGATAAGCAGCAGCAAATGATTGAAAAAATTGACATGACTGGTCGAGAAGGAAGAACCAAGGTCCAGGCTCGAATCGCTCAGTTGAGTGACATTCATGCAGTAAAGGAGCTGAACCTTCACGAATACAGTAAGTGAGGTGGACAGCCAAAGAGCACTGTGTGTGTTGTAAGAACAAGACATGGTTCTGTGGCTTTTCATTATTATTATTATTATTATTATTATTATTATTATTATTATTATTATTTATACAGCATTTTGGCTGCATGTATGTCTGCACACCAGAAGAGGGCACCAGATTCAATCATAGATGGTTGTGAGCCACCATGTGGTTGCTGGGAATTGAACTCAGGACCTCTCAAAGAGCAGCCAGTGCTCTTAACCTCTGAGCCATCTCTCCAGCCCCGGTTCTGTGGCTTTTTGACATCATTTTTCTTCTTTATTGAACTTTCTAATAACATAAGCAGTATGATTTTGGTTTATCAAAATTATCATGGAGCAGGTGAAGTAGTATACTTCTGAAATCCTAGCACTCAAGGTTTGGAGGCAGGAAGATTGAGTGCTTAAAACCAGCTTGGACTATCTAGCTAGACCTAGTGTCCATAAAACTAAGACCTGGGGTGTAGCTCAGTGGCAAAGCACTTGCTTAGTACCCACAGGCCCTGGGTTTGGTCTTCAGACAAGTAGATAAATGATAGCATTGTATATTTGGAAGACTGAGAACTATCTCTGTTGATACATATTCAAATCTACTTTGTAAATAGTTGACAATCTCAATATCAACACAGATTGATGTAGCACCTATATTATTGATAGAAAACAGATTATAATTGAGGGCTGTATTGCATAATGATAATGATATTGTAATAGCCAAGGTCGGGTTGTTTGTAACCCAAGCTAAATAGAAAATTCAGAGCAGTGACTTCATAAGTACAGGTTGTGAAGTAAATCTTGAGAAGTCGCCTAATGTCTTATCTTTCTGCTTCACCCAAGTAAGAGGAAATTAGATCTGTATCACACTGTCTTTGGCAATTGAACAAGCAAGTAATTTTGTCTGTTTCAGTTCCATGTGACCATCAAGTTTTTCCTTCTATTGATTTTAATTTTCTACAAGTTCTGTATTAAAATATGCTTTTAAAAGTGAAATAATTTTATCTGTTAGAAGTAAAAGTTCTCAGTTAAAATCTTTAGAAGTCTCAGTTTTAAAAATAAAACTATATAAGTGTCAACAATCACCCCTAGCAATTTTTCTAGTTCTATAAATCTTTTTTTTTATTATTATTATTTGGCTTTTTTGAAACCAGGTCTTGTTGTGTGGTTCTGGCTGGCCTGGAACTTGCTGTGTAAACAGTCCTTATGGGCTCCTCCTGCCTCTTCTTCCCAAGTACTGAAATATAGGTATACGGCATTAAGGTCAGCTAATATTTTTAGCTAAAAAGTTAACATAAGCCTATCATAGCTAAGTTTTATTCATTGTATTTCTTTCATAGTTTTATTCATCATATTATCTAGCTTTGTTGTTGTTTATGCTGAGGATTGAACTCAGGATGTCACTTATGCCAAGGACTCTTACATGGAGCATTTCTCCCAGCCCTTTATTATAATGTTTTAAGATGAAATATACATATCTACATAACATACTAGATGTTGTGCATACTTGTAATCTCAGTAGTTTTAGAGGCTGAGATAAGAGGATCACTTGAACCTAAGAGTTTAAAACTAGCTCAGACAATAAAAACTCCTATCTTATTTCTCCTCCTCCATGCAGTGGTTATACATAGATATTCTGTTATAGGTTATATAGGGATAGAGTGTGGAATTACACTATATAGAAATAAAATCAGGACTTATTTTATATTTAATATTGTTTGTGGTTCATAAGTCATTGATTTTGATAATTACATTATTTTCCAGGACAGCACCCTTGTGCCCAGGATAATGGTGGCTGTTCCCATATTTGCCTTGTAAAAGGAGATGGTACTACAAGATGCTCTTGCCCCATGCACCTAGTTCTGCTTCAGGATGAGCTGTCTTGTGGAGGTAAAGATGTTAAAATCTTTTTTGTGCAAGCCAAAATTCTACATCTTATCTAGCTATCTATGGCTAGGCAGTGAAATGGCTATTTTTCCTGACTTAATTGGCCATTTGTACACTTACCAGACTTGGCTTCTTTCCTCTCTTGTCCTCAGACTTGTCCCTACTAGTATAGCCTCCAATGATCCATTTTAACAAACTCTATTCTGTGTGTTTGGATTTTATACATTCCACATACAAACGGAATTGTGTGATGTATACTGTTTTGTGCCTTCCTTCAACATACTTTCTCTAGGCTCGTTTCTTTGTAGCAGATGATAGGAGTTCCTTTTTTTTTATAAGTCAAATAGTATTTTATTATATATGTGTTGGTGGTATTTTCAGCCTATGAATTATATCTCCTAATAATACAGTAACTTCCCCACCAGAGTAAGATGAATTCACTCTGGTCTTCGCCCGCTGAATTCTAGATTTTGTCGGTGTAAGTGTCGTTGTTTGGAGTGTGTCCAGTGAAAGGAATATTCTTTTGTTCAAACCCATCAGGATTTCCTGTTATTTTAAAAAAGAGCAAAAACAAAAATAAAAACTGACAATAAAAGAAAATTAAAAAGCCCTATGGTGTATATGTATGCATGTATGTAGGGTACACACATGCATGTTAACATATGCCAGTACAGAAGACAGCTTCAGTGTTTCTCTTCATCTTCCACTTTGAGATAAAGTGTCTGTTTATCACTGCACTCCAGGCTGGCAGGCCTGTAAGCTACTGGGGATTCTCCTGCCTACTTTCTATCTTCCATAGGCAAACTGGGTTTAAAGATACACACTACCACTTCCGCCTCGTGTGGGTTCTCACCTCAGGTCCTCATGTTCACACCTAGTGTGCCCTCTCCTCAATGTGTAGTCACTCTTGAAGCATAACAAATTGGTGTGCTCTTTTGTTAATTCACAGTGTGGCAGTGCTGGGTACCGTGATAATGTTCATACTTCTCATTAAGAAGTCCTCTTCCTGGAGATAATTCACAGTTAATTTTAATTGAAGAAAAACAATTGTGGCATGCTGTTACCTGCAAAAGTGCAATTTAAAAGAATCTAGTTTCTATTATTTGAAAAATTGTTAAATACAGCAGCTGAGTTAAAATTTTTTTAGCGCTGAGGATTGAACCTAGTAGTGTTCTGCTGCTGAGCTTTATCTTCAGCCTAAGTTACTCACTTACTAAATATTATAATTATGAAGCTGATATAAAAATGTATTTGGAGCTGGATGGTAGTGGCGCACGCCTTTAATCCCAGCACTCAGGAGGCAGAGGCAGGCGGATCTCTGTGAGTTCGAGGCCAGCCTGGTCTACAAGAGCTAGCAGGACAGGAACCAAAAGTTACAGAGAAACCCTGTCTCGAAAATCCAATATATATATATTTGGTGTAAGGGGAAAATAGGTTGTTATTTTGATTTGTTTGCTTGTTTCTTTGTAATACTGACTCACCACCAGCCCTTCAGTTAGTATCTTAAATGTTTCCCATTTTAAGGCCATGTATTAATAGATTGTGGACCTGTTGGGTTGGAATCTTTGACATTTTTTGAAATAGAGTCTGACTTTGTTGTTGGCTAATCTCCACTGCCAGGCTTAATTGGTTCTCCTGTTTCAGCCTCCTTAATGACTGGGGACCACACAGTCTCTGCCACTGTACCTGGGATAAAAATCTTATTGCAGTGATGTTTTTTTCTAGGAGTGTAGTTGAGCAATACAGCACTTGCCAGTTCATGTGAGGCCTTGGATTCTGTTCTGAGCATTGCAGTTTACTATTAGAGAGTGTTTTCTTCTTTAAAGACAGTTTTTAAAGAGATGCATTCCTTTAAAGCAAGATTTAAAGAAAATATATATTCAGAATGTAAAAAGTAGTGATAAAACAGGATTACAAATAAATTTTATCTTTCTGACTTTTCAAAGATAGTCTCAATAGCAGTGGCAATGTATTCTGGAGAAGCTCTTACGAATCTGAGGCCAGCTTGGACAATGTATTCTGCTTACATTACAGAAACTCAAGGTAGTGCATACAATTTGAGAACATGGAAGTGATTCTGATGCACACTTGACTATAATACCAAACCTCAGAATTTTTGTCACCAAAGATCTAGACACACATGAAAACATAACATTCCATGATGTTACTTCAAGAGGAGGCAGAGCTACTTTGTGTGACTGAAAATCAGAATCTCCTCTTCTGGAAGGAATGGACTGCTATACGATGCTAGGGTGTTCCTCTTCAGAGACCTAATATGTACAGAAAACTTAAGCTCTAGAATTTGAAATAAAGGGACGGAAAGAGGGAACATTCCTAGGCATAGAGTATGTGCTTGTAATTTCCTTGGAGAAGCTCTTACGAATCTGAGGCCAGCTTGGACAATTCAGGTAGACATTATGTAAAAAAATTCTAATTAATGTAGAAAATTAATAAATTAAGACAAAATCAAACCTTGCAGATTAATGTAGACATATTTAATATTGTTGAACTAGGTACCATTAAATGGTTAAGTTGGTAAAATTTTGTGACGTGTATTTTGTCACAGTGTAAAACTTCTGTTTCTGTACAGAACACTAGACCTGCTTTAACAACAAATCCTGAGGGAATTTCTCACTACGTTAACAGATAAACTGATCTCATCTTCCAATAGATGTCTTTTAAAGGGACATAATTTTTTGCTGATAAAGTACATTTTCTATTTGTATGTAAAACAAATAGCAAGTTAGAAAAGTATACAGCTGTGTTGTCACCTGACCCAAGATATGGAGTGTTGCTGTTAAGAAAGTACTCTTGGGAGATGGCGGTCAGCCTGGGCAATGTGAGATCTCTTCTCAGAATAACAGCAACAGCAACACAAACCAGTGGGAAAGAAAGGTCATAGCAGTCACAGAAGAAAATGTGCACAGTGGTACATGCCTGTGATCCAGCACTGGGCCACAGAATGAATTAGAATCTGAACTGGGCTCGTTAGTGAGAACTTGTCTCAGTTCTCCACTGCAGAGAAGAGAAGGGAAAGGAGGAGGCAGAGGGAGGGACAGAAGGAAAGGAAAGGAAAAGGAAGGTGCCTTCGTGTGCTTACCAGACAGTTCTCTAGTAAAAGCACCTGCTCTTCAGACTGTTGCTCCATACAGAGTTAGTTTCTTGAACATTATCAGTGGAATCATGGCATGTAATCTTTTGGGCTTTAGAGTCTCCTTACATAATATGTTTTTGAGATCCAATAATATATCAAATGTGTCAGCACTTTTTTGTTGCTGAGTCATAGTTGATTATGTAACACTGCAGTTACTCTCTTGTGAGGAACTGTTAATATTTAATTTTTAATAAAACTTATGTGCATGTTGAGTTCTACACCAAATCTTGGCGATCAGTAGTTTCTTGTAGGTTTGATTGTAACATTAATTTATATTTCTTTATTAAAATGTGTGTTGAGCTAAGAATATAGCTCAGTGATCTCACCTGGTATAAGCAAAATCCTTGAGTTCTACTCCCAGTACTACCAAAGATGTATACACACACACATACACACACACACACACACACACACACACACATGCATGTATATATACACACATATGTTGTTTGTGTGATGGCATGTACCTGTGGTGCCAGTTTAAGCTACTTGGTTGGTTGTGAATTATTTGAGCTCAGAAGTTTAGTAGAAAAACATGAAACCTTGACTCTTAAAAAGAAAAGCAGGAGTGTGGGGGGTGCTCTGAGATGATGGCTCAGTAGGTAAGAGCATTTGCGGCACAAACATGAGGATTTCAAACACCCATGTAAAAAGTAAAATATAATAAATAAATAATAAATAAGCAAAAAATAATAAGCATGGCTGTGTGTACCTGTGACCCTAGTGTTGTGGCAAGGTAGGAGATCAGTGAGGCTTGCTGGCTACCAGTGTAGCTGTAGGTTTAGTGAGAGACTGTCTTACACAGAGAGCAATAGAACAGGACTCTCAACATCCTCCTCTGACCAGTACCTGTGTATGTAGCCAGAAGCTGCTTGTTCGTTTCCTGGCTACCCAGATGCGAATAATCACACAGAAACTATATTAATTTTAACACTGTTTGGCCAATAGCTTAGGTATATTTCTAGCTAACTCTTACATCTTAAATTAACCCATTCCTATTATTTTATATTTTTACCATGAGGCTCATGGTTTACCTGTAAGGCTCTGAGGTATCTAACTCCTTCGGTAGCTACATGGCTTTTCCCTGACTCCACCTACTCATTCTCTGTATCTCTTCCAGCCTGACTGTATTCTGCCCTGCTATAGACTGAAGCAGCTTCTTTATCAACCATTGGTAATAAGACATATTCATAGCATACAGAGGGGAATCCCACATTATCTATATAAACATGGACATACACTTGTACATACATGTGTACATACATACAACAAAAAGGAGATGGAAGGGGAGGTAATGGGGAGAAAAAGAAAAGAAGGCTGCATGTGGTAGATTGTGCCTGTAATCCCTGAATTTAGGAGGCTAAACCAGGATTAATGTGAGTTTGAGCAAGCTTGGACTACAAAATGAGACATTGCCTCAACCCCCACCCCCAACTTTGCTCTTCCCCTGACGATGATTTTTATTGTTGTTATTATTGTTTGAGACAAGATCTCTTTATGTACCCCATCTGACTACTCGTAAACTTGAAATCTTCAGTCTCCCAGTTGCCAAAATTGTTTATGGACAGCACCATGCCCAGCAGTGCCCATCTAGTTATTTTCTGTAGATTTTATATGACATTTTATAGTTTCAGAACTTAGTCCTTTGTAAATATTAGAATTCCGTTCAGAAGTTCCTAGAGGGGCTTGAGATGGTTTGTGTACTTGCTGCTCTTTCAGAGAAGCCAGATTTGTTTTCTAGCCCCCTGTGGTAGTGCACTGACATCTGTAACCACAGGTATGGAGTAGCTGATGCCCTGGCTTCCATGGACTCCAGGAAACTGTACATACTTAGGTGCAGGCACCCACTCATACCTAGAAAATGATTTTGGCCTCTTTCATTGTGCAGTATCAGAAACTCACATTTGTTATTGCTCACCCTCACAAGAAGAATCTGTGCGTGCTACTGAACTGTAGGTATTCCGTGTTACATCCAGATTTTCTAGAACTTGAATCTCTGATCCCAAGTTCCTGTTTTATGATTAGCTATAAAACCAGACATTGTTTTTATTTGGTTTGTTTGGTAATAGCTCATTCAGTTTTTTGTTAAATTCCTGCGAAACACCTGAATGTGAGTACAGCTTCCTTATAGCTCATTTTTCAGATAAAAACGGTACTCTGTTTTGATTTGTTTACGTGTGAGCAGATGCTTGCCTATTAAAACTAGCCTAGTTAGATCCTGCTTAGATGTGCAGTGTGAACTTAACATATACCTCAGTTTTTCAACAATAATGAACTTGAGACTTGACTTTTTAACAATTAACATTTCACCATGAGTCCTTTTATTGTACCTCCAAAGTGCTGGGATCCCAGGGATATGCTATCAAGACCATCAAAAGCACTCCTAAGAGAAACTGGCCTTTTTTGCTCATTAAAGTCGTGGTTTCTTGGCTGTGTGGCTTATGGGGACTCCTACTACTATGGAACAACTGACTTGAGTCTTCTAAGGTCCCTGCAGTTTACCCACAATTCCTTCTGTAGCATCAGTGCAGATGTGAAAAATGCAAATGCTACTTTAGAATTATTACAAGCAGTTCTCACGTGTTTACTGCTCTGACTGGCAGTGGGACCTGGGGCAATGGAGCTGATAAATGAGGCAGACAAAAGTCTTATGCCGTGGCCAACTTTATTCAGAGATCAGACAATTTGTACTCCAAGGGTTAATAGGAATCGCATGGGTAAAGTGTCCAATCACAAGGACAAGGCCACATACGACAGACAAGCCACATGTGGCAGAAACATTTTTCCATAGAGGCATTTAAACAAATAACAATAGCCAGTTGTAATGAATAATCTGAAGTAAACTCACTCCTATCCACTACACCTGGGAAGGGCACAAAAACACATTCCAAGAACAAACTGATGTTTTTGAGGAGACAGCTCACAAGACTCTTGTCTTGTTTTCTAGACGTTTTCTCACCAGTAGTCAGAGTTCCACTCACAGGACTCCACTCCGGGGCTGTGTTCCGACACCCACTCAGTGGACCCAGTAAAAAGAAGTAATAGAGATCTTCAGGGGGTTGTGAGCAGGCTTTTGAGAATCTTAGAGCTTGGAAAAAATGTTCATTCTAGGCTAACTTTAAAATGCTTGGAAGTTGGTAGTCATTATGATCACTCCTGGTGGTGTGTGAGGTCAGTGAGTTGCAGATATTTCATTCCTGTTCGGACTGTAATTACAAGAAAATATGTCAGTGTTTTTATAGCTTACTGCCTCTGAATGACTGATTAGATGAGTAGACTATAAATCCTCTTCATTGTAAAATGCTCTGTTTATTTTTAACGAGCTCCACTTGGCTATAAATATTTGTACCTATGCATGACCACTGTTCTTGTCATTCTCTCCCCTTGTTCGTTTGAAGAACCTCCAACATGTTCTCCTCAGCAGTTCACTTGTTTCACTGGGGACATTGACTGTATCCCTGTGGCTTGGCGGTGTGATGGCTTTACTGAATGTGAAGACCACAGTGATGAACTCAATTGTCCCGTGTGCTCAGAGTCTCAGTTCCAGTGTGCCAGTGGGCAGTGTATTGATGGCGCCCTTCGGTGCAATGGTGATGCCAACTGCCAGGATAAGTCAGACGAGAAGAATTGTGAAGGTATCAAGAATTCCTTGATGCTTGCTTTATACTTTCTTTGCATCAAGTTATTTGAAATTTATTTTTTCTCAGTAGATTTGGTTTTATATTTATGGCATGAACATTATACATGTTGCTAATTATTTGAACCATTTGATATGTGTAAGGTCCTGCAAATTTATGTACTCATTTTGCTACTTTATTGAAATGCCCGGGTGGTGAATATCTTTTTTTACTTTTTGTGGCTGTGATAAAACATTATGACCAAGGGCATCTTAAAGAATAAGGAGTTTATTTTGGCTAAAGCTTCCAGAGGGAGAGTCCATGAAGGCAGGGAAGCTGGGAGATCACTTTGTCTACCTCAAGAAACCAAGCAGAGGGAGCGAACCGGAAGTGGGTGAGAGTGTAAACTCAGAAAGTCCATCCCCAGTGATGTACTTCCTCCAGGAAAGCTGCAGCTCCCATAATCTCCCAAAACAGCTCCACCAACTAAGGACCAAGTGTTTAAATATGTGAACCTGTGATGCGATACTGCTCATTCAAACCACCACAGTGGGCATTTTTATAAAGAAAAGAGGTCTATTTAGATCATAGTTCTCCAGTGTCAAGGGCATGTTATGGGATATTACTTTAATTATGTAAAGTTGAGTTACTTTTGTTTGTTTATGTTACAAGATATTTAATTATGTAAAGGTTTGTTTATGCTGCATTTGTTTAATGATGTAAAGATGTGTTGCTCTGCCTGCCTAAGGCACCTAATCTGATATAAAACTGAACGACCAATAGCTAGGCAGTAGAGGGGTAGGCGGGGCTGGTGGGCACAGAGAATAAGTAGGAGGATGAATCTAGTCTCATGAGGGAGAGAGAGGGAGTCTCCCGGGGCCAGACAGCTAGTTAGCCACCAGCCAGACATGGAATAGGGTATACAGAATGAAAGAAAGATAAAAGGCACTGAGGCAAAACATAGACGAAGAGGAACAGGTTAATTTAAGTTTAAAATTGCTAGCCAGAAGCAAGCCTAAACTAAGACTAAGCATCCATTGTTGGTAATAAGTCTCTGTCATGATTTGGGGGCTGGTGGTCAGAGAAAGCCTGCTACCAGGGCATGTAGTGGCTCTGGTTGGCTCTGGTGAAAATCTCGTGGCAGGTGGCAGCACAGTCGTGGGAGCACTTGGGAGACTATAGGCATGTCTCAATAAGAAGCCAGAGTGAGGGGAGGTGTCAGGGGTTTTGTTCTTTTAAAAATGTGTGGGTATTTTGGCTTCATGTTTGTCTGTGTACCTGTGACCCTAGTACTTGAGGAGGGTGTCAGATCCCTTGGAGTTAGAATTATAGATGGTTATGAGCCTCCATAGCTGCCAGTGCTCTTTAACCATGGAGCCATCTCTCCAGCCCCAGGCTTGCTTGTTTAAAGCAACAGGTTTTCTTAAGAACTGACTCGGTACATGGAGAGCTCCCGAACACATTCTGTGTCTAAGCCTGATATGGTTTTAGAGTGTATTTAGAAGCATTTGAGTCTTGATAGAATTTTTCTTTACACTGTGCTAAAAATAAAACTCTGCTTTTTTTTTCTAGTGCTTTGTTTAATTGATCAGTTCCGCTGTGCCAATGGCCAGTGTGTCGGAAAGCACAAGAAATGCGACCACAACGTGGACTGCAGTGACAAATCTGATGAGCTGGACTGTTGTAAGTAGGAAGGAAGCTTGTAAATTGTTCTCAAGGGAGAATTTGAAAAATACCTTGTAGCACAAATTCTAACTGTTCTTAGTAATAAAAACTTGGAGTCAGCTATTGGGGTGAAAGAGATGAGAGAAGCAGTGCAGCAGCCACTAGAGAGACCTTTTACCTCCACCAGTGCTCAGACTGCAAGAGAGTTCTGTCTCTACGAGCCCTCAGAATGCATCTCCAGACTGCCTGAGCTCCTGTCTCCTCCCGCATTACATTCCTCTCTTCACCCACATCACTCCTGTCTCCACCTCGCTAGTGCTGGAATTAAAGGCGTGTAATCCGAAGTGCTTTTGACTGGATCAGTTCTGTAGCCCAGGGTGCCCTTGAACTAGCAGATCTGTCTGCTGAGTCCTGAGATCAAAGGTGTGCCACCACTGCCTGGCCTCTACATCTTCAGGCAATTTAATCTTCAGGCAAGCTTTATTTGTTAAAACACAAACAAAATACCACTACATTACCACCCCCCTTTTTTTGTATTTTACTTAAAATCCAGATTTCCATATGTGGAACACTTATACTAGTTATTTGTGCCAGAGATATTTTCTGTTTTGCTTTTAATAATTGTTTAAGGACAGTAGTTTCTTTGTGCAGAGAGATAGTAAAATACCAGGAAAAAAACATTGTTCTGCCACAACTAAAGTCACAAAATTCTCAGGTAATTTAGATACATGGAAATTAATTGCTAACCCGAACTTCAGTCTGAACATTAGTTTGTGTTTAACTGTTTTCTTGAAGTATTTCTACCAGTTTCTCAGGCTCTAGAATTTAAATGCTTTCTTCTTCCTCCTTTCTTGCCTTCCTTTCTCCCTCATTGCCTCCGTGACTGCTTACCTGCCTCTCTTCTTCCTCTGAGCTACCCCCACACATACTAATGCCGAGCTGTAGCAACCACATAAGCACTAGCACAGAGGAGGAGGCAACCAACGTTTTAGGAGTGAAAATGGAGTACATGAAGGAAGCTTCTTAGAAAAACGATATTTGAGATCAATGTTGATGAATGAAAGTGTGGTTTCTGCAGATAAGTAGAGAAGCTTCATTCTGTTTAGCACCAGGAAGGTGTAAAACCAATCAACTTTCTGGAACTGCTGTGAGTAAATGGGATTGCTGCGTTAGCTGTGTCTTGGGTGTGTCACCAAGACAGAATGGTAGCATAGATGATGAAGGTGATACTCCACTCACAGTTCAGAATCACTGATACTTCTAAGAACAGGCTAGGGTGGGAACATGAAAGCCAAAGCTATAAAACGTGTTAGAGGTAATAGGATTGTGGGCAGGGACATCTATTAGGCTGTTTGTTTTCAAAGTTTTTTGGACCACATCAAAAGAAGTATAAAGGTGAGATGCATGTGTAGAGAAACAGGTGTCCTGCAGTGGCTTTTATGCACATGATGTACACTACATCTTGATTTTTCTCTTTCCTTTATTTTAAATGCTGGTTATAACCCACTAAATTGTTTCCCCCATCTTCTAATAGTTTGCAGTCTGTAATTGAAAATGCTCGGGAGGCTTTTGTGGTTCTGACTGAAGATGATCTAGATCAGGAGAAGCAGAAAGGGCTGGGAAAGGAAGGCTGGGTTTCCATTATTGCAGAGACAGAAGGGTTGGCAATTTTGAGTTGACCCACAGGTACCTCACAGTGTGACTGGGGTTAACCAGGATTTGCAGCAGGAACTAAACACTGAAGTACCATAACATTTGTGGTGGAGGAGAAATGCTTGGTTAATGCAGTGCTGGTTGCTGTCTCTGTTTTAAACTTAAATGGCTTTCACAGGCATACACTTTACAGCTTGCCAAGGCTATGCCAGTTTTTATTTTTCTTAATTGGTCTACCCCAGTTATTATCTGTTTTACCTCTGGATCTGGGAGAGGTGGTGATAATGGTGAGCTCAGTTTGGGATATCTTACATTAAAGGTCGTGATGGGCTGTCCCATTAATACTGTTAGGAAATTGGTTGAGTAGGTCTATGGCTCAGGAAGATATTTGGCACTCTTTAGATTATTGATGGTAATTAAAGCTATGATAATGGATGAAATCTCCTGAGAGTAGAGGAGGAAGCAGGTAAGTAACAATAAATCAGGGAGGCATGCACAAATAACAGCAGAAATAATCAGAGCTAGTAAGTAGGGCAGAGCATGGCCGTAACACTCACGATCCCAGCACTAGGGAGTCGGGGGGGGGGGGGGGGGGGGTCAAGACTTCAGCTACATAGCGGGATTGAAGCCAACCTGGACTAGGTGATACCCCGTATCAAAAAAATAAATAGTAAAACTAGGAGAGTGGTATCTTCCATAGTGAGCAGAAACTGTTTAAAAGAAAGCGCAAGCCCAATCTGTTGACCATGCAGAGAGGTCTGTGAAATGAAGAGTCTCTTGAATATAGCAAATCGGAGAGCTCTTAGCCTTTGTGGGCCATTTCCCTGCAGTGGTGAGGGAGGAAGCCTGCCATCAGCAGTGTGTCCCAGAGACCAGCAGTGTGGGGTAGGAATGTCAAGAAAGGGTTATTCGTTCCTGAAGTTTGGCACTGGGGAGGAATATCAAGGCATGAAAGAGAAAACAGAAGTGATGGTAGCTGGCAAGGACTGAAGAGAGCATGCGCTTTAGATCCCACAGGCTGACTTTGGGGCTGATGGCCACAACAGGCAACTTAGTGCTGTCATTGATGAGTTTAGCTACATGGATGGGAGATTTAACAGAAAGCAGAAAGTGTTTTAAAGGGTCTTCATTATGAAATTATCTATGGGCTAACTAGTCAGAATGGAAGAATTCTCCCTTCTGAATAATAAAGTAGGCACTTCTTGCTCTTTCTTTTCATGCCTTCTGCTTCTTAAAGACTCAAGTAGCCAGGAATCCAGGAAGGTAGGTGTGCTGGGCAGGATCCTTCTCCAGTTCTCTGGCCTTGCTGAGTCCTCTTGTAGTCAAGTTAGAGACCTGTGTGTATGCTCTCAGGCAGCCGGGGCCCTGAGGACAGTGGAGGTTGGATCTGAGTGCCTGACTCATCTGCGGTTTACAGACGGCTTCACTAGACCTAAGTGGCACTAGTTCCGGCTGCTTTTGGCTTCTCCACTATTCCACAGGAACATTTTGGTGACTTCTCGAGGCCTGTCTCTTCAGTGATACTTCTTGGTCTGTTGTCGTCATTTAACAACAGCTTTTTTGAATTTCTTTAAATTAAATTATGCCATTTAATTCATATTTTTATGTGGTATGATATATATTTTTATGTAAACTATATAGTTCAATTTATCAACATTTTTATTTTTGCATTCTTTTATTGCTATTTTGAATGTATTTTGAATATTTTTCCATTAGATAACTAGTATTTTCCATTTTAGATCCAACTGAAGAGCCAGCACCACAGGCCACCAACACAGTCGGTTCAGTTATTGGAGTAATTGTCACCATATTTGTATCTGGAACTATATACTTTATCTGCCAAAGGATGCTGTGTCCTCGTATGAAGGGAGATGGGGAGACTATGACTAATGACTATGTGGTTCATGGCCCAGCTTCTGTGCCCCTTGGTTACGTTCCTCACCCAAGCTCTCTGTCGGGATCTCTTCCAGGTAAGTGAAAACTAGTTTGTAAGAATTTGGTTTTGTCCAGTTTAAGATCTAAAAAGAAAAAAAAAAAAAAAAAACTACTGAATTTCCATTGTGGAAAAAGGACGTGCCTAGGATTAAAAACTAGATTACTTTGGGTTTAAGAACTTGTGAGAGTGAACTTTTTTTTTTTTTTTTTTTAATTTCTACACTGTCTCTCTATACAGAAAGACTTAGGTATAACTTTGCCAGCTTCAGGCCTCTGACTGCGTTGCGGGGCTACACTATATTGAAAGCAAGTTAGCCAGTGCTTTGGTGAACACCTACAATTTAATTTCACTACTGGGGACCTGAGGCTATTGACTCTAGGAATAAAGGAGTCCAAAGACAGATCAGTTTGCTTTCCACAAACAAGGATTTTGGAAATAGCTGATTGACCGGGAAGGAACATACTCCCCTCTGCCTTCTCCTGATCTAATATGGTGACAATGGTGTGAGGTTGGTTAAAACACTGAGTCTGTTGGGCAGTAAATCTTTTCCCGGTGTTTTGTGGTACCTTTGATGAAAAGGATCTTGCCTTTTAATGAATATGGAGGATCTGTCTGACCTCTGAAAATAGGAATTTACTGTGGTTGTGACTCTCAAGTAAACAGCTGCAATATTTCAGCTGGTGAATGGTGATACTCCCCTGTTGCCGTCTCTATTTCCAGTAAGTGGAAATGGAAACTTGGACAAGTAGAACCTTCTCTTAGCATTAGTAGTCTGGAGTGTCTTTGTGCATCAGCTCCTGTCTTTGGAAGGCTTTGCTTTCTCTGGAGCTCATCTGTTGGTTTAATCTACCCTGGTTCACAGTCTTCATCCTCAGTCCTTTCCTTAAGTCTTCTGGGACAAACTCTCACTCTGCAGGGCCCTGTTTCCTCTGACAGGCCCGGGTGGGAGCGGCTTGGCCTTATTCGAAGCCGGCTCTGAATGGGGCTTTCACTTCAACATTCGTTTCCCTTCTCATAAGCTCTTTACAGATATTATTAGGAAAAGAGGGCATAAATCATTTTTAGTTGGGCTGCTTGTAACTTCCATGTTGATTAGTTATTTCATAGATCTTTGTAGATGTTACTCAGCTTTCATTTTCATCTCCTTCAGGAATGTCTCGAGGAAAATCAATGATCAGTTCCCTCAGTATCATGGGGGGGAGCAGTGGGCCTCCCTATGATCGAGCACACGTCACAGGAGCATCGTCAAGTAGTTCTTCCAGCACCAAAGGCACTTACTTCCCTGCAGTAAGTAGTCTGCTTTTGCTTTGTTTGTTTTTTACTGTTAAAATACATAGCATGTTAAATTAATTCATTTAAATGTGGGTACTCAGTGATGGTAATGTGAAAATAGTTGTTAATGTAGGGTTTAAGTACATAGGAGTCAGTGAGAATTTACCACCACTGCCCTGTGCTTAAATCTTTTAAGTTTACTCTGTAATAATAAACGTAGTTGAAAACATTATAACAATTTCACTATGCAAATAAAAATTAAATCACTAAGGTACCAAACAGACTTTGGACTTTTCATTTGTAACCCACTAAAAGAAACATGTAGGTGGGGAGGTAGTTCAGTCTGTAAAATGCCTGTCTCGCATCCTCAACATCCCCAGCACTAAGATAAAAAGCTGGGCCTGGCTCATAATCCCAGAGTTGCAGAGGTGGGGACAGGAGGATCCCTGGAGTGCACTGGCCAGCCCACCTAGACGAGTTAGTGCCCGCCAGGTTAATGAGAGCCTGCCTTAAAGGAGGTGGACAGCGTTCCTGAGAAGGACATTTATGGTTCCCTTTGGCCTTCAATTTGCATGCATGCATATATGCTCTTGTACCTACATGTATAAAAATAAAATTTAAGAGAAAGCACATTATAACTTAAATTAATAATTTTTCTACAGACATGGAAAAGTTGTGTTTAAAAGAATTAGAGTCTGTCACTGCCAAACAAGCCAGTGATAGGGGTGACAGGTTTTGTTTGGGATAAAGAACTTGTGGCCTAGGAAAGGGGAGCCACAGTCTTGAAGTGCTATTTAGGTAGTTGTTTTAAAAAGAAGAATATGCTGATAGTATAATGGAAAAATGAAAAGATAGAAGATAGAAAAGACAGAAAGATGAAAAGATAGAAGATAAAGATTTTTTACATCTATATCTATGTAAAGTTATTGTTAGCTTAATATTTTAATTGTTTCCCTTTTAGATTTTGAACCCACCACCATCGCCTGCTACAGAGCGATCTCATTATACCATGGAATTTGGTTATTCTTCCAACAGTCCCTCCACACATAGGTCCTACAGGTAAGGCATGCCTTCTTTTCCATATTCCATTTGTGAACGTACTAACCCTCAAATGAACAGACCATGATCACCAAAGAAAGATTAAGATTCTTGTCTTGGCAAGACTTGACATTGTCCACCCCCAAATCCTTTCTTTTTTTATTTTATATTTAAAAGAGAGTTACACAGCTGGCCTTTAGAGTAATGCAGTTAGGCCAGATAGGCCAGAGTTGTGAGAGCTCACAGGTAGCAGGAGTGTGGAGCACAGATAATTGAAAGAAATCAGAAGCAGGTTGGCCTACTGTAACCTGGAATAAAAAATTTTCCATGTAGTTACATGAAATAAACAAGTCTCTGGTGTAAGAGGTCCTTCTGTCTATGTATTGCTTTTATTGGTTAATGAATAAAGAAACTGCTTTGGACCTATAGCAAGGCAGAACTTAGGTAGGCAGAGAAAACTAAACTAAATGCTAGGAGGAAGAAGGTGGAGTCAGAAGCCATGGAGTCACCAGAGTCAGACATGCCAAAACTTTATCTGGTAAGCCACAGCCACGTGGCAATATACAAATTAATGGAGATGGGTTATGAAACATGAGGTCCAGCTCGTTTGTTGGGGGTTTTTCTATCCTGCCAGATTCCCACAGCTGATTAGCACCAAAGAAAATCACACAGAGATCGCTGTAAGTTATAAAGCTGATTGGCCCATTAGGCCAGGCTACTTATTAGCTCTTGTAGCTTATATTAACCCATTATTCTGATCTATTTTTGCCATATGGCTCAGTACCGTTTTCAGCTGGCAGGTCACATCCTGCTTCCTCTGTGGTCTGCACAGGACTGGGAGGGGAGCTTCCTGCTTCCCAGAATACTCCTGTTCTCATTGCATCATTTCTACTTCCTGTCTGGTTTTCCCGCCTATACTTCCTGCCTGGCCAATCAGTGTTTATTTAAAACATGATTGGCAGAATACAGACAATTCTCCTGCACAATTCTCCATAGTTGATTTGTTGGGAATGTGGATGTAGTATTCCAGGCTACTTCCAGCTGGTTGGGGGCGCTGATAATCTTATGGGGACCTAAAGAAAATTTAGAGTTATGAATGGGCCAATCAGTTTTATAACTTATGGAGATCTCTGTGTGATTTTCTTTGGGGCTTGCTGGCTATGGGGTACCAGGCAGGACAGAAACCCCAACAAGCAGGCCCTGATCATGTTACAGGGTTAAATTAAGATCTAAGAATTAGCCAATAAAAAGCTAGAGCTAATGGGCCAAGCAGTGTTTTAAATAATACAGTTTCTGTGTGATTATTTTGGGTCTAAGCTAGCTGGGCAGCCGGGAACCAACAAGCAACCCTTCTTACTACAAGTCTCAATAAAGTGAATGAAGCATGTTTGTAAGTAGCAGCAGGAAGTGACCTCTGCTAACTGCGAGTGTATTGAGGAGGTCTGTTACTGTCATGTGCGCATTGCTCTTCATCTGTGTTCTGTCTGAAACAGCCCTGTCTGTGGTCCTCAGTGCCCTTACCATTTGGATGGTGTTTCCTTTCGGTTGGTTTGGCCTAGGAGGACTTTGCAGTGATGGAAATAGAATGGAAACTGCCTGCAAAAATCGCTTAAGACTGAGACAGGGTTGCCTCCAACATGATTGTTTCTATGAATTATTCTAAGATTTCTTTTTATACCACAGTTTTGTTCTAAAATGCCAAAACAAAAACAGGCCTGAAAATTGAAAAACAAAACCAGAAACTAAAATGTCATTTAAAAAACTTACTTAATTCAGCTTGAAGAACATTAGGCAAAGTATATGACCACTTTAAATCATTTCGCATGTGTAAAGTAGGCTAAAATCTGTCAGACTTCTTTATCAATTGCCGTGATTTTGCTTAAGCTGAGATTTAACAGAATTTTGTTGATCAACTTTCTTTTTTTTCCTTCTTCCTTTTCTTTATGACACTAGAAGTTTTTAGCCTTTTCAGTTTTAATCCAGAAACTCTCCCAGGCTTTGGCTTCTGTTTGGACAGAAAGATGAAACAAAAAAAGATGAAACAAAAAGTGCTGTGATGATGTCCTGTTAGCAGTGATGGTAAACGTCCCAGGAACCTGCTCAGTGGGGCCTGTGGGCGAGGCTGAGTGGCAGCAGAAGGCATGGCCTGTCAGTTGTTCTTGCCTCTTTTTTGCAGTCACTTTATTTTAGAGACAGTTAATGCATGGATCTCTAGGATAAGTATGAAATAAGAGAAGCGTGGCCATACGTAGAATAAATTGTAGGAAGTCATCCACAGACAAGCCAGTGTTTAGGTCAGCTCTCACCTCCATGAGTGTGCTTCTCTTCAGGTCGCTTTTCTTAGATACCCAGGTTACAGACTTACTAACTAGAGATTATTTTAAAGGGTATATAAACAAGTAGACAGTTGACTGGCCCTCTGGGTGTTTAAAGTTTGATACTCAGTTGAAACTGCATGTAGGGCTGTATACCTGACCACACAGAAGTCAGGTACCACAACTCCAAGTTAGAATAGTTTCCCTTTGCACATGGCAATCGTACCAGGGTGGATGTGGCTGGAGTTCAGCCTGGATTGTGCAGTAGTTTACTTTGAAAAGAAATCAGACATCATTAACTTACCTGACAGGCAAGTCATGAAATGAGCAAAGAGTGTAGAGTGAGAGTAGACTATAGAAGACCCGTTTCCACACACTCTGAAGCTTCTGGGACTGCTGAGATCTGTGAGTGAGGTGTGTAACAGGCCGGCCAAGGCTGGAGCTGAACAGTAAACAGCTTGTTCTGTGTGAGCAAGGCCCTGGGTTCAGTACCCAGCACCTGAGGAAAAACAGAACAGTTTTTCAGTCTGTCAATAGTAAAACTCTTGAGTTGGTTTGTTTTTATTCTATTTTTGAATATGATACTGGGGGTCAAACCCAGGGCCTTGTGTACAGCACGTGCATTTTAGTCTGCCTCAAGGGAGAAGAGCACATTGGGGGCTTGACTGAGTTCTCTGCTCTCCAACTCTGTCCATGTTCTCGTCAGTGTGCCATTGCTTCTTCATGTGTGCCAATTAAAAGCAGTGGCTTTTTGGTTGTGGTGGTCCTAGGGATCGAACCCATGCCTTTCCTGTACATGCCAGGCAAGGACTACCCATCCATACAGATTTTAACTGCAACAGCTCATAGCTTTCAAACTGCATTTATATCTCTTTGACTTCTGATACAGGATATTCTTCCGTAAAACTAACTGTGCTTCTATTTTCTTCACATACTAGCTACAGGCCTTACAGCTACCGGCACTTTGCACCGCCCACTACACCCTGCAGCACTGATGTCTGTGACAGTGACTATGCTCCTAGCCGGAGAATGACCTCAGTGGCAACAGCCAAGGGCTATACCAGTGACTTGAACTATGACTCAGAGCCTGTGCCCCCACCACCCACACCCCGCAGCCAATACTTGTCAGCAGAAGAGAACTATGAGAGCTGCCCTCCTTCTCCGTATACCGAAAGGAGCTACTCGCATCATCTCTACCCACCGCCACCCTCCCCCTGCACAGACTCCTCCTGAGGAGGGGCCCTCCTCCTCTGACTGCCTCCGCCGGGAAATGTAAATACACATCTGGTTGAGATCTGGAGGGGGGGAGGGAGCTATAAAGCAGAGTGAGGCAGACCCTGTACAGTTAACATTATAAAGTGGGTGGGGTACTGGAGATATTTGTACAGAAGAAAAGGATATTTATATATTTTCTTAAAAGAGCAGATTTGCTGCTTGTGCCATAAAAGTTTGTACAAAATATAAATTTGTACTAAAAGTTTTATTTTTGCAAACTAAATACACAGAGCATGCCTTAAACCCAGTGAAATGACTGAGCACAAAGGAGACAGGGATAGCAGAGGCATCACTGAAAGGGAGTGTCTGGGTTTCAATGATACCAAAAACTAAAGGAGGAGAGGAACGTAATTCCATCTCCCGAGTGGCAAACTTGGAAGCAGCCAAAATCGCCTTCAGACTAACGAACATTTTTGAGGGTCAACACGTTAAGAAACCAAGAAGGAAAGAAATTATAGTACTAATTTTGGACAAAGGGCTTTGTTTTCTCTAGGAATCCAACAGTTTCCTTAAGGAAAATAGATGCTTGTACAATCCATTGAGTGTTGCTGTTGTAGGAGATGAAGTGTCTGCTGCAGGATGCTGTGGAGCTAGTGAGAGGCCTGCCGCTGGCCCCGTTCTTGGTAACACTAGCTGCTTTCACCTTGCTGCCTTCCCAGCAGCTTGTAGGCCATTCTGCCAGGAGCCATGATTTCGTCAAGCTTTTTAATCTGAGGAATTGACTAAATGGAATTTACTCAACAAGGGATTGATTCCAGTATATCTACTATCACCATTTGACTGAGCTTTTAAGTTGTAGGCTGTTTTTGCATAATCAAAAGTTAGCCATATTATTGGTCTTCCATGATTGTTTTAATGCTCATTAAAGTGTCTTTTTACAACACATATAGACAATGCTTAAAAAAATCACGAATATGTTATATTCTTGTAAATTAGTTTTGTATCCTTGCAGCATACAATATCACAGTGTGAAATCATTTAATGTATGTTTTTTGAGTAAAACATTTAAATGTGCTCTGGTTAGAAACAGTCTATTTAAAAAGAAGGGTTTTTTGTTTTGTTTTGTTTGTGTTGTTAGGTTTCCCTGTATTAACTGTGTGGTGTTTTCACTTTGTGTGGACCAGCTTTCCTGAGTGACGTCTCCCACATACCTCTGTTAGTGTGGTGGGAGGCACCTTCTTGGCAGGCTCTGTGAATGTTTTCACATGGTCCGTAGTCTCTTCTTATAGTCACCTGTGTTTCTGTGTTCTCCCTTGTCCCAATCTGGACTAAGATAATTTCACAAATGTAACAGTGTGGGTTAAATGAGAAGACTCACTGTGAACTTCTCAGCTGCAGGAACTTGAGTGGTGGAGACTAATGGAAGTCTCTTCTGAAACATGCCTGACCTGCCGTCATGGTGGTCCTGAGCTGCTACCTCTGTCGCTGTCAGGGCTGACCTGTGGGATGACCTTAGCCCACTGCTCTCCCGCTGTCCAGACATTAGTGTCCTGCTTTTTTGTTATCTTGCACTCCTCTGCTACAGTTGAGCTGTTTTTAACCTAGTGTGCTTTTACCTAAGCAGCTGTTGATTACTTACTGAATATATTTTTAAACTATATATTGATATGAGGCTTCTGGATTTTAGAGCCTAAGTGAAAACAATAGAAAGAAATGATTCCAGAATTTTGGCAGAGTTTAATTAGCTTTTAAAAAAACACAGGTACGTTTTTAAAGAGAAAACCAAATCTTTCAAGATAATGCTTATGTTGGGGACAGCTTAGTCAGAATCAGGGGCACTTATCTTGTGTATAAGTAAATGGCAATCCATGCATGTCTTGAATTTCAGTCAGATAAGCATTAACTCTTCCTGTTACTGAAACGAAGTGCTCGGCGTCCAGGACAGAATGGGTCTTGAACTCACTTCTGTGACGCACGGGGCACTTGACGCTTGAGTGAAGATGGGAAGGTCAGCCATGACTGGGTGTCAGTTAGAATCTGAGAATTCTATGTTTACATTTTAATGTGCATCTTTATCTGGTGGGCTTCCCATGTAGAGACTTGCACTATAGTGAGCTAAGAAGGATGCTGCCTTGTTTCATCCCAGTCCAGGTGCTTGTGCTGCGATGGCAATGGCCTCTTCTTGCAAAATACAAATTTGTGTGCCAATTTGTTGAAATGATTTGAAGGCAGTTCAGGTTAATCTCAGTATCCTCTTTCTGGGGCAGCTGAGTTGTAGTGAGTACTTCTGAGAGTATTTTTTAGTGAGATGGTTGTTAAATTTGAGAAAGATAAGGATACTCAAGTTACATGGACAGTTAAGTTTAAGTAAACTATGTCGTAATTATTGAACATAAAAAAAATAAGGAAAAATAAACTTATGAGAACACAAATTGGGGAAAAGGTAAAGTTTTAAATTAGGATATATCTAGATTATTTAAGAGGAAACATGAATACAATTTGATTAGATTCCATAGTTTCTTGGCTATTTGTTTTGAGCTTGTATCTTAAAGTATGCCTATTTACTGATAGAACATTTTGTCTACTGCAGCAAGCTTTTCTGCACTGCGATCTTCTATAACTAGGACTGAGACACAATTCCTCTGGGGTCCTAGTCTCCTAACCAGGGCCTCAGTAGTTCTCATGTAGGTCAGGTAAATGGGCACAGTCACAGAAAAGGTTTAAACTAGAGTTGGTGGGTAGAATATTACTGGTATTTTTCTTTTTTAAAAAATTTTACAATGCTTTTGTCAGTGCACACTAAGTTGTAAAACTAGCCGTCTACCTTAGGTGACAGTTGTCTAGGGGAAGCGTCTGTTGTCTTTCTGTAAAGGCCCATGAGTGATTGTCAGTTCATAGCTGTGCTTACTTATCAGTTCATTCGGTGTGCTTAGTGATCAGGATGGCTTTCTGCAAGTAAGCCTGCTTCTCTGCAAGCTTCAGAAACAAAAGTCGTCTTCTGTTCACCCCTGAAAATGCCCTGCTTTTAGTGACTGTGCTGTGCTAATGTGTAGCCCCTGTGACTACAGAAAATTAACAAACTTACTTAGAATTGGATTGTAGAAAAGAATGTGGATATCAGTTGATTGGCAATATTTAAGAGTTCACAAATGAAAGCCTTGCACAATTATGGGTGTGCACTAAGTCCTAAACACGTTTGTCATCAAGCATTAGTTAAAATGTCAGAATTCCTTTTAATTTCCTGGGGTTTCCTCATCCCAGACCTAAAGCAGGCTATGGGAAGAGGTGTGATTTTAGGACATTGGGACGACACTGCTTTATAATAGTGTCAAGATTTGGCTTTTGAAATCCTCAGGTTTTAAAGTCACGGACTTTGGGCCTCAAATACAAAATTACACATTAGTGACTTAAGTGGTTCGCATTGTGGATCCTTATTCTCAGGATCTTTCTCTGGCTGCATGGCTCATTGAATTCAGCATACACCTGAGGAGAGGGGAGGCGAATGCGCTGGTTTATCTCAGTGACTTAGAATCAAGTTACCGACTCTCCTCACCTCAATGGAAGGGAGCTTTACCGTTGGTTCGCAGGCCTTTATAGACCATTCTTTATTTTATCCCTAGGGAATTTTTAGAATTACAGATTGATTGCACTCAGAAGCAGAGTATGGGCCCAACATAATACTAATCATTGGATTCTCCATCATCACTTAGCGTTTGTCCAAAGTCAACAACAAAGAGATAGAGAACACGCTTTTGCTTAACTGTTCATTTGGGCTTTGTTTGTTTATCCACTACGTACAGGAAAGTTGAGGGGTGGTATAGCTATAGACCCGTGTGGATGTGTATCTGTATCAGTGCCTAAATAGAGTACGAAGAGGAAGCTAGGCAAGGAGAGTGACTCCATCAGAGTCTGGTGAGGGGAGGCCAGAGAAAGAGGGTACGAGAGGCTGAACTGGACTGGCCTAGTTGCAAGTGAAGGATCTGGTGCTGCTTTCGGGTGTTTGTCCCTTATGAGTCTAAACTTTTTCTTAAGCTTTAATCTTTGTCATTGTCTTAAGTCAGCTGGTGTTTCTTGTACATCGACTTTGGTACGATGGTGCTTTGCAAGGATGTATTTATATTATAATGGCCAACATTTGGTCAGCCCTTGTCCACTTACTCACCCCCTTTTGTAAAATAAGTGCTTTAATTATAAATTGTATAAAGGTACCTTGTATAAACTCCCTTTTGATTATTACAATAAGCTGAATTGTAACAAATGAAATGTTGATTTTTATAATAAAACCATGGAAAAATCAGTGAAAAAGTGGAACTATCGTTTATTTACTCCAAGAAATAATGAAAATGGTTATGCTTTGTGTGATGAACACTACTGTATTTCAAATAGCAGCAGGTGCAGCTTTGACGCAGTGTGTGTGAAGAACTGAAGACTGTTGGCTAATTCAGGGCTGAACTGTGTGCCTAGAACTCTGGAGACCTCCAGGCTCTTCAGCACTGCCGTGTTCTCGCTGATTATGAGTGACACCTTAAAGTGGTGTTGCTTTTCCTGGTGTGGAGCCTAGTGTGATGTTGCCTGAGAGATTTGTGGAGCTAAACCAATGAGGATGCCCGTACCGGGTCCCACTGAGTCTCACTTTGCTGTGAATGAAGAGTGGCAGGTTAAGTGGAAGCCACATTCTAACGTAAGGCCGTGTCAGGTGCTCTTGATCTTGTCATCTCCACTTGTCCGTGAGGAGGAAGGAGAAAAGGCCACATAGGTCACAGTGCTTCCAGTAAAAGGGAGGGAAGAGCCACAGCTTCCCTTGAACTTGATGTGGTCTCAAGAATGGTGAAAAATCATGTGTATCTCGGTCCTCCTTTGTTATACAGTCCTCTTAACTTGAACTCATTTCCTTGGAGGTGCAGCCTGTGTAGTTTGTCAGTTTAACTCAGGATGAATTGTGGCTAGTGCTCTCTCTGTCGTTTACACCATTATGCGATCTACACATTGGAATCGTTCTGGAAAGTTTTCTTGAGATTTGCTCTTTCAAATTCAGATTTAGTCAAAGCAGAAAATTGATCTTCCCCATACAAAGGCTAAAACGAAGGATAATTTTATTAAAATCTGGCCAGCATTGACTGTGTACCAGGCGCTATGCCGAGTCGTCCCGTTACCACATACAAAAGAAATGGACTAGTTGATGAATAAACGTGATAGGAAATGCCTTTTGGAGGATGGAATTCTCCACTGTAAAATTTCAATTAAAGTCAACGGGTTGTCAGTGTAGAGAAGGGTGAGACCGGGACCTAGTTCTGCTGTTGTATCATGACGGGTTGTCTTATTTTTCTATTGCTGTGCTAAGACACTGAGACCAAGGTAACTTCGAGAAGACTTTATTGGGGGCTCCCAGTTACAGAGGGTGAGTCCATGGTCATTATGATGGGGAGCACGGCATCTCCAGGTAGGCATGGTGCTGGAGCCGTAACTGATAGCCTACAGCTGGATCCACAAGCACAAGACACTGGGAATGGCTCAGAGTTTTGAAGTCTCATAGCCTGCTTCCAGTGACACATGTCCCCCAAGACCACCCCTAATCCTTTCCAAACAGTTTCATCAACTGGGGACCGAGTATTCTTACTCAAACTATCACCATTGTTAAGCCATGTCCGGACACATTTACTTTTTTAGATTTTCTTCACACCGGGGAGAGTGGTTGTTCTTAGTAGACCAGGCTGACTTTTAATGCAGAGGTTCACCTGCATCTGCCTCCTGGATGCTGGGTAAAGTGTACATCATCAAGCCTGTACCCGCATGCATGGCTCCTAAGATGCCTTAGTCTGCTTCCCATAAATGTTTCCATTCAGTTTATAACTTTCTGGTTTTGCTGTTTTTTATTCTTTGAAAATGAATCATACAAAAGTATGCTTAATTTTTAGATATTTTGGGCATTTTCCAGTATTTTGTTATTTTAAAATTCAGCTCCATAAAGGTCAGATTTAATCCTTTTAAACTTTTTGAGACTTGTTTTATGGGCCAGACTGATGGCAGTGGGAGGTCTTGAAGAGCATGATGGCTCTGCTGTGGGCCTAGCTCTAAAAGTCAGTGGGATCCCTCACGTCTCCTGTATCGTGATGGGATTTCTATCTACTGTTACCGAAAAAAGCAGCAGTCTCTGAGCTTCCCTCTGGCTCTACGTGTTTCATCTTTTCTGATAGTTTCTGCCTACACATGACAAAATAGTTACATTCTCATAACTGTTCACCCTTCAGCATCATGCAATGCTTTTCTGTCCCTGAATTTTTTGACTTGAAGTCTACTTGTCTGATAGTAGTATCATAGCTTCCTTGTTAGTCCTGTATGATTTCCTATCCTTTCACTTTCTGCCTCTTTTGTGTATAGATTAAAGAATTAAAGATAAATAGCCATTTTTATGGCTCAGGAGGTGAAGACACTTGCTGTGAAGTCTAAAGACCTGAGTTTGACCAACATGGAGAGAACCAACTCCCCTGACATACTCATTAAATCAATGAAAATTTTAGGCCCACGTTTCAATGGGGTCTTTATTCTTTGATTTTTTGTATGTTTGTTTTGAGACAGGGTCTCACTATGTAGCCTAGGCTGCCTTGGAGCTCACTGTGTAGACCAGGCTGGCCTCAAACTCAAGAGATCTGCCTGCCTCCGCCCAAGTGCTGGGACTTGTTTTGTTTTTCAAGATAGGGTTTCTCTTCATAGCCCTGGCTGTCCTGGAATTTGCTCTGTAGAGTCTATTCTTATCTACTTGTTTCTTCCCTTTAGTGGAAGTTTTTGGCCATATCTCTAAAGCAGATGTCATTGTGACTGTGCCTACCATCTCTCTCTCTCCTTCCTAAGCTCTCCTCGCTTCTGAGACGGAGGTTATAGCTTCCTACATAGTCCAGGCTGCTCTGGAACTCGAGTCTTCCTGCTTTCACTTCCTGAGTGTGGCTACAAGTATGTTGCATAATGTCCAGCCTTTAGTTCAGTGGTTCTCAACCTTCCTAATGCTGTGACCCTTTAACATGGTTCCTCGTGTTGTAGTTACCCCCAACCATAAAATTATTTTTCTTGCTGCTTAATAACTAATTTTTCTACAGTTGTCAATAGTAATGTAAATGTGGCTTGCAGGATATCTGTCTGTGTCCATGTGTCTGTACTTTCTTCATTCCCTCATTGCCCCAGTTAGGTCAGTCCCTGAAGCCGTGCAGAACTCAACACTGCGTGAGCTTGAGGACCAGAGTTTGGGCCCTCAGAACCCACATAAACACTGGGTGGACCTGGTGACTCCCCTGTAATTCCAGTGCTCACATCAGACTTAACTGTGTTGGTGAGCTATGGTTTTAGCTGTGAGACCCTGTCCCTGTGAATGAGACAGAAGGCTCTCCATGCCAACCCCAGGCCTCCACACACATGTATGCACTTGCCTGTGCATCCACACATGCAAATACACATACACACCACACATACATTTGTAAAAAATAAAATTCTCTTCAGAGTCTAGCAAGATGGTTGAGCCAGCATAAGGGCCTACTGCCCAAGTGTGACAATCTGGGTTCAGTCCCTGGATCTGAAGGTGGGAGTTGAGAACTGACTCCTGAAATGTCCTGTCACCTCCACATACATGCCGGGACACTCACCTGCACTCATACTCACACCCAATATAATAAAAACTCTAAAGTTCTCTGTTCAAGTCTTCGCCTTCAATTCTGTGAGAATCCACCCCACTATAGATGGCTCATGCCTCCGTGGATGGCCACATACCCATGGGTATCACTAATTGGATTCAGGGGGTTATTAATAATTAACACACACATGCATATGTGTGTGTATACATTTAATAATTAACATACACACATACATATATATGAACATCAATCACTGTGTAGTCAAGATGCCCTTGAATGTATTGTCCTGCCTCAGCATCCTACCACACACAGCTTAGACCTTCTGTTTTGTTTAAATTCAGATCTACCTGCCTTTGCCTCCCAAGTGCTGAGATTTAAGGTGTGCACCACTATGCCTTGCGTCCTCACATCTTCTTGATGTGTTGAAAATATTTTAATTTGCATGTTTATACGATGTGTGTGTGCACTCGTGTGTGCATTCAGATGCGCGTGTGCCACAGTGTGCATGTGGAGGTCAGACAACCTTGGGTGTTGTTCTTCATGCTCCACATTGTTGTGAGATAGGATCTCCTGGTTGTTTTCCATTGCCTGCATCAGGCTAGCCGGTCTGCAGATGTCTGGAAACCATTGACTGTCTTCTATCTCCCCGGTAGGAGAACTGGGATTACAGATGCTCATTCTACATGTCAGGATTTTATGTGGGTTCTAGGGGTTTGAACCCTGGTCCTCATGCTTGTTTTGCCAAGCGCTTTTACCCAGTAACCCATCTCTCCAGCCCAAACATTCAAATTTTATCAACATTAAATAACTTCCTTTGCCTTTGTAACCTTCCTGTGCTTGTGTACTTTTGTGTGCATGTACATATGTGTGTGGAGACCAGATAATGAAGTTGTATCTTCCTTAGTCAATAACTTTGGCAGGGCCTCTTCCTGCACCTGGAACTTACTGACACAGCCTCATCGGCTGGTTCCTAAACCCTGCCCTTCTTCTCCAGGCCTGGGATGACTGGCATGTACCACCACACCTGTCTATCACACGGGCAATGGGGCATTGTACAGCAAGCATTTCACGGAGCAGAAATCTGAGTGTTCAGCCTATTTCTAAAATTGGCATTCTTCCTGGCTCCTTGAATTCTCTGGAGAATGCTCCTTTCAGTAGTTCGAAGGCTCTGTGAAGCCTTGGGAGATTTTCCCATGTGTACACATTGATCTGTTCTCATCTGTAGACTCTGGACTGTCTGCAGCTTGGGGTGCTACTCCCCTCCCTACCTTTGCTGTCCGCTGAAGCCACATCACCCTTGCTGAGCTCCTGCTCAGACAGACGGCTGGGCTCTGGGCGTTCCCGGCTCAGTACAGCCAGAGACTGCTTTCCATGCAGTCGTGGGCTCATGTTGCCTCTCATCTGTCAGCATTACCCACTGCCGCGTCTTAGAAATCCTTCTTTCATTTATTTTGTCTGCAATAAAATGAAGACTCAGGCAGGGGAATGAGATCTAGTTACTGTCCCATCATCCTGACTAGAAGCTGCCTATGATTTTGGAATCACTCGTAGAGTTTGTTATGACTCCGTGTATCTCGGGCCACACGCCAGTCGTACTGATTTACAAGCTGTGGCAGAGGCTGGGGTACGGTCTGCAAGCATGTGCCAAGAAGTTGCCTGGTGTCAGATGTGCAAAGTCAAACGACACAAGAGAGTTCCCGTGCCGCTGAGAAAGGCTGCGTGTGCCAGTTCATAGGGTGCAGCGCACTAAATCCATTGTCTACAGAAAGAGTGTTTTGGATTCCTCTCGAGGAAAGACATCCAGATACAACCCCATGGCAGCCAACAGAGAGTCCGTAAATGACGCACGGGGGAAGGGGGGAAGGCGGGGGTGGAATAAAGAAGTAAATTTGGATCCGGAGAACCCTGGGGAAAGGAGGCTGGCAGGCAAGCGCATTCCAAGGGGAGAGGACGTTGTTCAGGATCCGAGGTGTGGGAATGCAGGACACATTTGGGAAATTGTGAATAATTAGGAATGGCTGGACAAAAGGCAGAGAACAGGGAGAGGTCTTCAGTTTCTCCATCTTAGACGCACAGGAGGAAACAGAGGAAGTCATTCTATGTGCTACACAGGTTAGTGACTTTTTAACAGATGGGGCCCTTTCCCCTTGATCTATCCGTTCGTTTTAAGTCAGACTACATTTGAGGTGCCATAATCCAAAGATATGCAAGATCCTGTAATGACATTATTTTTTGAGACAGGATCTTACGATGTAGACCAGATTAGCTTGGAACTTGCAATCCTCCTGCCTCAACCCCTCTCAAGTGTTGGAAACTCAGATGTGTACCACCATGCCTGCCCACGTGGTTATTTTTTTTCTAGTCATATCAATAACAAAAGAGCAACGGGTAACTGAGAATGTGGGCTCATTCGGCTGCACTGTGGGCAGCTCACAGTAGGAAACAGCATCCAGTTAACACTAATCAGCTCCCAGGCACCATCCTGAGGCTTTTGTGTAGGTTGACACACTTGGTCTTCACGGATTTGATACTTACACTACCATGACAACTTATGTTTATTTTAACAAAAAAACACTTTGGTGGGGGGAGTGTTGAGACAAAGCCTTGAACTCATTTTGTTTGTCTGGTTGGTCCCAAACGTGTGGTCCTCCCACCTCAAGCTGGGGTTGCAGGCAGCTGTCACCAGGTCCAGTTTGCATGTTACTCCTTTAACAGCAATCTTTCGATGCATTTATTTTACTAGTCACCAACCGCTATGCTACCTCCAGGAATGCTAAAATCCCAGAGCCCACGCTGGGGGGGATGGCACTGTGGGTAAAGTGTTAGCCGCCAAAGTGTGAGGACCTGTGCTTGAATTTACAGCTCCCATCTAAACAGCTGCCCATCTCTGGTGGTGAGATAGGAGGTGGAGACAGGAGACTCCCCGGAAGCTCATGAGCCATCTAGCCTGGGGTATGATATGCAGTGCATAAGAGGCCGTGCTTCAAAGAAAGTGGAAGATGAGGACCAACACCCGAGGTTGCCCCTTGACCCCCATACGCATGCTGTGGTACGTGTGTGCTCCACTCTCAATCCCAGAAACCTGGTGGAGTGGAGGTGTGTCGCATGAAGAAATCTGCAGGCAATCACAGATTTTGTAGCAGGTTTTGAGGAAATGGGTCAGCTCATAGGAAAGTCGAGTTTCTTCTCTAACGTGAACAGATACATGTTCCTATGGTGAGCTTGAGATGATGCCATTAACAGACTTTCCCAAATGTCGTTTGAGAACAAATAGTACCAGAGACTAAAAAAGTAAGCACATGCGCTGTTTATCGTTTCTCCTCAACAGACACGGCCAAATGGACCACTTTCTCCGTAACCAAATGGGACGGTTTCCATTCTGAACATGTACAGGTAAAGTGATCGCTTATCTTTATGGACTCCCTCATGGGGACACAGCTCAAATAACCTCAAGGCAAAGTCCATGCTACTGAGTCCTAAGAGCTAGAAAGAGCAAGGCCTCTCCCAATGCCTCGAGTCAAAGGGAAGGATGGTTCTAGAAAATTTGGCCTCCGTCTGCTGCATACATTTTAATTTTCTCCTGAAGTCTATGCCGAGAGCGGTGGGCACAGGACCACCGTTGGGCAAGGAACCTTCCAGATGACAGATCTTTGGATGTTTCAGTCGACTTCTTCATGTGATATCCCAAGTATTTTTTCCTAGGGGAGGAAGGGAAAGAAAAGCCTTAAAATTCAAAGTGTGATTCACTGCTGAAGTAAAAACACAGGCTAGGAAAATGGACTGGAGTAGGGGAAGTTGTGGAATGGTGGCTGGCATCCTTGGGGTGCCTGCAGGGAGACCAAGAGTGAAGGCCTTCTGTTACTCATCCGGGGCTAACAGGCTGACCTCTGAAATGTGCAAAGAGTTTGAGACCCCTTTTAAGATCCCCAAAAGGAAGGAAGGGTTGATACCGCTGGAGGCCGCAGTGACTGTGTGAACACACTCCTCACTCAGCAAGGACGAAGCTTGCTTAGTTTGTGCTGTGATTTGCGTATGAAGGGTCTCTCCTACAGACTCTTATGCTGAACACTTAATCCCAGCTGGTGACCCTCTTTTGGAAGGTTGTGGAACTTTTAAAGGGGTGGGACATTGCTAGAGGAAGTGGATCGCTGAAGGTGGACCTTGCCCTTTGATAGCCTGGCCCTTCTTCTTGTCTGTTCTCTGCTTCCTGTTCACCCAAGATGTGAGGTGAGGAGTTCCACACTCCCACATCAGGGAGCTGCCTTCTGCTCCATGACTACCACTCCTTCAGATTGTGCGGCAAGATAATCCAGCCTCCCTTGGGTCACTTTCTCCCAACACTGAGAAAAGTAATTAACACAGCAGGGTTTGGAGATGGAGGTGACCCTCCTTCTGTGCCTGACCCTGTCACTACTGAACAAGTATTGGCTCAGCATGCTTGATGTATGTAAAGTAACGGGAGCTATGAGACAGACAGGAGGCACATGCGTACCGGCCCAGGCTAACTGTAGCTGCACTAGAATGGTGAGCTGCAAGCTCAGGAAACCTTCAGTATGGAGACAAGAGCCCAGAGCTTCCTTCCTCCCTTTCCCTCCCCTCTCCCTCCTGGATTCTCCTCCCTTCTCTACTCCTTCCTCCTCCTCTCCCTTCTTTCGTTATGAGACAGGGTCTCACTCTGTAGCCTATGCTAGCCTTGATCTCACAGCTATCCTCCTGTCTCAGCCTCCTGAAAGCTAGGATTATGTGTGTATCACCAGGTCTAGCTCAGACTTCCCTAGGTGTTTTGTGTGTGGCAGACTGCTTGCCTGGCGTGCACGAAGCCTGTGGGTTTGATCCCCAGAACAGGAGGAAATAAGGAAGGAAGTACCTAAATCCCAGCACTTAGGAGGTAGAGGCAGGAAGTTTAGGAAATTCGTGTTTGTTCGATGCTCTTAGCTTCCCAGTGCTTTCCTGGCCCTTTGGCAAACTCAGTTCTCTCACTTCATTTCCTCTGCTGTCTCCTGACTGACACTCTCCAGATTAAACCCAGCTAAGGCCAAGAGTTAAGATGAGGGTTTAACACAACCGGGATAGGCAAATTTGGACAGAGAGTACAGTGGTTAGGGATGCTGATGTTTTGTGTGTGGCAGACTGCTTGCCTGGCGTGCACGAAGCCTGTGGGTTTGATCCCCAGAACAGGAGGAAATAAGGAAGGAAGTACCTAAATCCCAGCACTTAGGAGGTAGAGGCAGGAAGTTTAGGAAATTAAGGACAGCCTGAGCTGTAGGAGGCTCTGACTCAAAAACAAAAGCAAAAATACATATAAATAAGAAAGGAAGAGATTAAAAACCAAGCCAAAAACAAAAACAAAAACAAAAAAAAAAAAAAAACCCAAGTACTGGGAGAGACACCTGAGCATGTAGCATGTTTGCGTTAGCATGTGATGCTCTGGAGTCAACCCCGAGGGACACAACACACACACACACACATCCTTCAGCAATTGCATCCGTTTCTAATCTCAGAAACCTCCCTCCAAATTCCTCCTGAAGGATTGTCTACTTCCTCTGACGGAACCTGCTTTTCTCTCGAGCAGCAGCCAAGTTACATAAAATGTTTGCGCTTGCTTTTCCTTCTTCTTTCATCTGATTACTGGAATTAGAACTGTTTTCTTTTTAATATTTACTGAAATAGAATTTTACCACAAAATTCTTCCTACTAAAGTACATAAGGGTTATACAACCCTTACCCCGAACCCTAGGACCCCTTTGTCACTCCAAAAAGAAAGTCTGTCCCTACCAGTGGTCAGCCCTAGTCCCTCACCAAACTCCTTTCTGCCTCCATGAATTTGCTTATTTTGGACACTTTATAAATAAAGCCATTTAACAAGAGGTATTCTTGTCTGGCTTCTTAGCATAATGCCTTTTTCAATTTTATTTTTCGATCACATATATGCAAGTGTGTCTGTGAGAGTGGGCACATATGTGTGAGTGTCCACGGAGGCCAGAAGAGGGCACTGGAACCCTGGTATCTGGAGTTATAGGCAGTCGTGATGCTGGGAATTGAACTTGGATCCTCTGAGGGCAGCCACTGAGCCGTCTCCCCAGCCTTGCATAACGTTTTCTAAGGTTCATATATGTTAGTGCTTTTTTTATTTTTACAGTTCTGTCGTATTCCATTGCATGGTCTGTGCTTCATTTTGCTGATCAGTGTTCATTAGCTGATGGATGCTGCAGTTGATTCTGTTTCCGAACTCAGCCATGAATATTTATGGACATGTTTCGGGTGAAAATGGTCTCCATTTTTGAGGGGTAGAGATGGTAGCTCTATTTTATCTCTATCTATTTGTTTTGTGGTGCTGGGGATTGAACCCATTGCCTTCACCGTGGCTCAGTATCCACTCTACCGCTGGGCTACACCACTAACCCATTGCCTTCACCGTGGCTCAGTATCCACTCTACCGCTGGGCTACACCACCCTGCTCCTGACAATGTGATCTCTGCCAGGTGGTTCTCCAGGGCTGCATGGTTCCGTAATTCAACCAGCAATGTAAAGAGGGAGGTTCCAGCTCCCAGTCTCACAGAGTCTTTGCCATAAGCATCCCATTGGGTAGAGTTCTTCAGCTTTTTGACTTACGTCTCTCCACCATTGAAACGGACATGCCCAGTGTCTTTTCTTTATATAGCCTCCCCGGAGAAACAGTGTACAAATCTATCGCCCATTAAAAAAAAATTAAATCTCTTGTCTTTTTTTATTGTGAAATTGTTAAGAGTTCGTTACATCTTCTGGATGGAAATCATTTAATTGAATACATGACTGGAAAAAAAAGTTCCCCCATTCTGTGTACCTCTCCCCTCCATATTTTATGTTTTTTTATAAGCTTGTTCAATTTGAGTTTTGCTCTCTTTCCTTCCTTACCTTCCTTCCTTCTCTCCCTCTTTCTCTTTCTCCTTTATTCTAATCTCTTATTTTCCTCTCCATTCCCTGGCTTTGTTTCTGCCATCCTTCTCTTCCTCTCACCCCGCCCACACACACACTGGGGATTGAAACCCAGGGTCTATACATGCCAAGCACGCACTGTACTGAGCTACATCTCTGGGCATTCCTTTTCTCACCCCTCGCCCCCTCACAGTGGTCAGGAAAGGAGGGCAGCAGAGGAACTCCACGGGATCTCGAGGGGAAGAAGGGGGAACTGAGACGCAGCTGAGAGCTCTAGCCTCCTCTCAGAATGGTTAGCACGCTCCTGCTGACCGTTACTTCTCCCGCACCTGTGGCCGTGCATGTGCGACCCAGGAAGGAGCAGAGGCTGAGCTAAGTGGGAGGCCACCGAGGACAGCGGCAGGCTTTTCAGCTCTGTGGGGAATGCGTGCCACACTTGCTTGTGAGACCTAGGAGACCAGCCTGTGAGAAAGACTCAGGGACACTTGGGCCGTACTTAGAGTTGGTACGAGTGTCCTGCTGGCCCTGGAACGGTCTTGTGGACAAAAGCCCACGGATAGTGAGAGAACATCCGTCCTCCTAAGACTAACCTTGACCAGTCAGGAAAGTTCAAAGTTGGCCTGATGTCAATCTTGAACAATTTGGGGGATGGGGAGTCTCAGAGAGCAGAGATCAAAGCTGGAGGAAGGGTTGGGACACAGAGTGGGAGGCAGCTGATGTGATTAATTCACCTCACCAAAAATAGATGCAAGTTCAGTTGCCTGTTTTTCAGTTTGTGTCCCAATTTCCCAGTTGAGGTCTAAGCAGCAATGACAGAATGAGCTTGAATCCCTGTGCGAAGATCAGCCTACATCGGCAATCAAGGAGATGCCCCTGCCCTCATCTGACCGGCAGAATTTGTGGAAGAAGAAATGGCATCCACTGAAACATTTGTCTCACCAGCTCCTCGTTTCCTGCTTCCTCTGACCCTTTGCCCCCTCCCCCGACATACCCTCTGGGAGTTCAGTAAATATTTGTGGATGAAGATGACCATTGCTAAAAATATGTTCCGATTGGTGGGACTTGTCTCTTGCCACTTGAGTATCCTAAATCCATGAGAACTGATTCCCAGATGTCTCCCCTCTGTCTTAATAAAGTTTTATCGCCCATCCCTTATCAGAGAAGATGTGTGTGTGTGTGTGTGTTTTCTATGTGTGTGTGAATGTGGTGTGTGTGTGTGTGTGTACACATGCATGCATGACTGTGTGTGCTGTATGCCTGTGGGGGGTGTGCACACACAAGTGTGACTATGTGTGGTATGTATGTGTGTGTGCATGTGGTGTGTATATGTGTATAAGTTGGTATGTGTTTGGTGTGTATGTGTGTGGTATGTGAGGGTGTGTGCAGTGTGGTGTGTGTGTGTGCATACAGGCACATGTGTGTGTGCCTGTGGGGTGTGTGAGTGTGTGTGTGTTTGTGTGTGTTAAGGTCTCACTATGTAATTCAGGCTTGTCCCAAACTCACAGGCTCCCTGCCTGTGCCTCCTAAGCGCAGACATGCACCACAGCACTCTGTGACCATAGCACGCTGTTGAGAGGATTCGTTTTCTTAACGGGCTACACTTACCCATCCACCATTCTGCTGCACCCAGGGGGAGAAGTACTCTTTTAGGTACTTGGTGCCAAAGCCCAGCATCCTATTCATTGGGTGGTTGTCGATGGCTGTGAGCTTGGCGATGGCGTCTATGGCAAGGGCAGCTTTAAAGCCTTGTGCTTTGACTTCTGATTCTCCTCTGGTGTCTACATCCCTCAGGAACAGGTCCGTGATAGTCTTGAACACTGAGTAGGACAGCCCATCCTGGAAACTACTCATCAAAGCCTTGTCTTTCTTCATCTGTGTATGAGAGGAAAAGCAATTAGGGGGCACGTGGAAGGCCACTCTTGTGATCAGAAGCACCAGTCAGAAGCCCCTGGAATGTGCTGTCAATCATGGCACAGGACCCTACAGAGTCAAGGGGAGTACCTGCTCTATCGGACCCTGGACTGCAGTGTCATGACATGGCATCCTACAGAGTCAAATGGAGCCAGGTGCCTACTCTACAGATTCCCTTTATTGGTACAAATAAGGGCAAAACTAAAAATCTTATTCGACACTCAAGTACTTCCCAAACACCAAGGATGGAAAGGAGTCATGGGTGACTCAGACCCAGGTGCTTACCCATGGGCCCACAGTCTAGTGGGGATGGCTAATAGTGTTCTGTGCTTTTCAAGAGGCAGGGTTATGGATGGGATCTGAACCCTAGTGATGTCTTAGGGTGTTCACTCTGCCCTACCCTCTCACCGGCAGTGCAATCTTGGGGACACTAGCCATTTTTCACATCTATTTATTTCATCTCTAAACTAGCGTAATGACAGTACAGCATTGGACATAAAGGAGGAGTTCTGGGGGCACAATGGAGACAGGGAAGACTCCCCACATGTATTTGCTTATTAAAATAAATAATAAAGAAAGAGAGAGGGGGCTGATGAAATGGTTCAGTGGGAACTTGCTGCCAAGCCTACGTTTGACTCCCAGCATCCTTGGTGGAAGGAGAACACAGGCTCCTGCTCATCCCTGACCTCGGTGGTATTCCATGGCGCATGGACATCCCACTCACAGGCAATAAATAAATACATGTAAAAATATCCACAGATTCCTTTTCCATTATTCTACCCAAGTGATTTCACCTCCCACCTCTTCCTCGAAACTGAATCTCTGTGGACTTGCTGCTTGAGCTCTGTATGCACGATGCTATAAACGTCCTGTTTGTTCTGAGGCCACACTGCCTTTGCCAGTGTTCCCAAAGCGCACACAATCCACTCTCTTCTCTTTGGCCCAATATCCCTGGTTTTCATTCTGCACCTTCCCTAGGCCTTTCATTCCTTTTTGTCATGATCTTCTGGGCACTATTTTCCTCTGCTTTTCCCTTCTGTAGAAGCCCGCACACATCGTCCCTAGACCCGACTTTCTCTCAACAAGTCCTGACCACAAAAGAAGAATCTACAAATCAGATCCCGATTGACAGACCCCAGAGATAGGTGACAGACTATGAGCTCAAAAGAAAATGCCTTCTAACTCCAGTATGGGCTTGCTCTTCAGTGTCACACAAGGACCGTCATCTCACTTTGCAGTGAGAAGGGCGGGTCTCCACTTCTCCACTACGGGTTCCTGGGTTCCTACACTTCACTAGCCTGCCTCTCTGGGTGAGTGGCTACGACAGATTTAAGCAGCCACAGTCCAGCAACCGTATGGGGCATTTCAGAGAGGATTGCAGCCTTTGAATAACTATCAGACGCATAGCCAGGCTGCTGGGCAATTGCAACCATCCAGACTCCCCTGAGGTTCAGTTAGATGAGAAGGAGGTCGATAAACCTATGCAGCAAATGTTCATTTTTCCGATGTCTTTTCTTACAATAACACAGTTGCATTTCCAGTTTCCAGAAATTCCAAGGAGGCTCCAGAAGATTTACTTCTGTTTTCCAAAGTGATTCATTTTTGAGATGCTGCCAGCGTGAAGAGGCAGACTCCAAGGGAAATAAAACTTAGGACTAAGTGGAAGCCAGGACTCCGGACGAGGGTCAGAGCCTGGTGCACAATTCCATTGTCCTGCCCTAGTGCGTGGGCGCAGACAGGAACCAAGTTAGCTCAAGGGACTCCATACCTCTCTTCCCAGCTGATCTCCTGAGTATTTCAGCAGCTCAACAATTTTGTTTATTACTTGATCCTCTCCGTCTGTTGGGGGAGAGGGAAATTCCAGTTATTTCTTTCAAGACAGGCACAAAAATAATAAACGTGTCCTTCCAGTGGCAATGCTTGTGGCTTGGTTATGGATGGAGAAAGGAGCAAGCATTCAAATCCTCAGCTGATAAATCTCACCATTCAAGACTTCTCCAGTCCCATCCTTGTCTTTTTGCTCAGTGTCTCCTTCCCCTCCCAATTCTCACCGAGAAACTTAGGACTTATTTACTGTATGAACGCTGGTGAAGACATCAGTTCCACTAGACAATCCTGTCCATGAAGAGAATTAGGGGACGATTCCCTCTTATTTTTTTAATTTTTATTTATTTTGCCACAAAGTAATAGTTACATACAGCCTACCCATACTACACTGGCTGGGGGTCAAAGCCGAAGCCTCATGGTTTCTAGGCAAATGCTCCAACCACTGAACCACACAGCCACTCCTTTTTCTTGTTTTCAGGCTATTTCTCAGCAGATGGTATGTTTGTTAAATAGAAATTCCCTGTGTGTGTGTGTGTGTGTGTGTGTGTGTGTGTGTGTGTGTGTAAGCCCATGTGCACATGGGGACCAAGTGTCAATACCAGATGTCTTCCTTGACCAGTTTTTGGGACAGGAGCTCTTGTTGAACTCGAGCTCAGTTGGACTGACTGCCAGACAGCCCCAGAGATTCCCTTTTCTGTGCCGTCCTTGAGCCCATCGCGCAGGCACGTGCCACAGTGCACAGCTCCGTGCGGGAGCTGGGGATCTGAACTCAGGCTCTGAGCACAGAGAACCCCTTACCAGCTGAGCCAACTTCCCAGCCCCATAAATCCCACGTCTGATCATATTTCTACCTTTGTCAGAAGCACGGGGCCAAACTTACAGCCCAAATGTGAAGTGACATTTTCCTGGCCTGCATGTGGGGACCAATCTCATTCTTTAGCCCTTTTTATTTTCCTATGTATTTTTTTTTTTTACATTTTTTAAAACTTGGTTGATTTTTATGTGATTGAAGTTTATACCCTGTATTCCATGTCTCGACAATAAGGTGGGGTACGTGGGAACGAAATGAACAAATTCCTGAGTTCTGCAGGATGAAACGGCAGTTGGACAAAGCAAGGCTATCGTTGGCCTGGGCTAGGATGGCTTTTCTCACAACTTGCCACTTAGTAAACATAACGGTGAAAATGATCACCACTGCAGAACAGAATCCAAACAGAGAAATGTCAGTTACCGAGGGAATCGAGTTTCTGACTTACAGCCCAGTCTCCGAAGCGATGTGGGACCCACATGTTTATTTTGGCTAGCGGTGAGGGAGGCCGGGGAATTAATGGAGCAAAGCCCAGGAAGGTGTAGGAAGGAGGGGAGCGGGGAGAGTGGCTAACCTGGGACTCACAATGCCTGGGAGCAAACAGGCATAAATCTCCACAGCCCTGGGTGTAGTCTCTGCTTCCATCTCTCCTGGAAAGATGCTGTGCTGGAGTCCTGGATTCCTCCCTCATGCAGGGGAGGGGTACAGGGGAGGGGAGGGGGGTGCCTTGGCTTTAGCTGTCTGAGGATATCACTTTCTACCTCCCAGGCACACTTGGGAGGGCCACAAAGCCCTAGCGCTTTCTTTCTGGCATGCACGGCTCCTCGCTCAGAGCCCTGTGGCAGTGTTCAGTTTCAGATGTGCAGCAGACAGTGGATAAAGCCCCAGCCCTGTTTGGGGATCTGAGACACTGATGCCTTTGTGGGCTTTGGCCTTGTCCTTCACGATGCTACAGGCCCAGGAGCCACTTGGTCATCATCCTTATACCTTCTACTAGAGGTTGGGGAGAGAGAGTTGAGAGGAAGGTCAATGATGAAGGAAGGCAACACCTTCTCCCTTCTGTTCTCCTCTCTTGGCCCAGGGTTCCCACACAACTTCTAGAATCCTGTAGTGGTCCCAGCCACTAATACTGTGTGGCAGTGACTGAGCTAATCTGGTCCCTAATTCTCACTTTTTCATTACCTCCTGAGCTAGACCTGGTGTTGCTAGATCAAATAGGAATCGTTCCCCACAGGCTCAAGTTTTGAATGCTGGTCCTTAACTGTTGGTACTGTTTGGGAGGCCGTGGAGATTTCAGGAGGTAGCATCTAACCAGAAGCGGCAGGACAGTGAAGGTATACTCTGACTGGCCTCATCTTGCTTTCTTTGCCTCCTGGTTGACTGCAGAATGAACAACTGCCCCCTGCTGTACCCTGCCTAAATGCATGTGGTTAAGCAACCGTGGATGGAACCTTCTGAAATCGTAAGCCAAAATAAATATTTTCTCTGATCAATTGCTTCTGCTAGGCAGTTTTCTCATGATGGCAAGAAAAATAACTACCGCACTGCGTGTCTGACAGCCTGGGTGTTTCCCACGAGGCCTGGGTTGGGTGATATTCTGACTCTATGCACAACCACTATAACACGACTCGACCTGACAGCTCCTCCTCTCCCTCCACAGGAGACGTTTCTTCTGACTTAGGAGTGAGCTGACATGTCTGTGCCATGGGCTGATGCCTTCAGCTAGAGCTCCCGGTCTCCATCATGTTGCTGCAAAGCGGGCTGAGATTCCCCGTGTACAGAG